TGGCAATTTAACCCCTTAAGTAGACCCATGTTAAGGAGTATTACATTATAACAGTGTGTGCTACTCACTGGCTATCAGTCCCACACCAGCCACAAGGGAGCCCACCCAGGCCGTCATGCCTTTGCCCTCCTGGAAGGCATGCAGCCACTCCGGGTACAGGACGCCCACTGACTGGGGTGATCCATAGGCCAGGAGCTGGGCCATGAAGGAGGCCACAACAATCACCCATCCCCAGCCTCCGTCCAGCAACTCGGTAGACTGAGACATGGTGCTGATGCTACTGCCGCCCACTGGGATCTGCTACAGCTTTGACAGAGAAGAGGCTCCTAGGAATGACAAACACATACAGTCGTAAGTTTGACAGTAAAAAATAATTAAACGATCACGTTAGTTATAGAACAGTATTTTTAAACTGGACCTATAATAGCTTCCAAAATATGCACTTACTTAAAGCTTTGATGCAGGGAAGGCTGCTGCAGCACTTAGCCTGGACAAACAGGCAGGCCACCTGTGTGAGGTCCTGAACACAGACCGACTGGAACTTACCCATAGGCAACTGCCCTTTTTGTTCCTGTCTCCATTTAACCACACCTTGGAGGTGGGGAAAGTAAAGAAAGCTGCACTGCTTTGTGCCCCCCTCTATGATTCAGCTCTGATCCTCAGCCATATGGGAGAGGCCTGTCTCCTATGCTGACCTAAGTTTTTCAGACCTTTCATAAATAATTTGTAGCCCAGAGCAACTTTATACATCACTGCGGCAGCATTAACTCCATTTGGTCGCACTTTGTTTACAATGCGGCATCTTATAGGGGAGTTGGTGCAAAACTCCTCACATTTCAGATGTATTTTCCTACAAAGCAGGCTTACAGCATGTTGACAGTATATAGTCTACTTTTTTATTGAAATTAAAAGACAATAATATCCTGAAGAAAATTACTGTATGATTCAAACGATCTTCTTTATTCACCAACAACAACCGCATTTCCTCATCATATGTTATCCTATCACTTTAATACAAACACGGGCATGTTGCGCTTGATATGTTTGTTAGAAACACATGCGACACTCACCTCAGCATCTATAAAAACAGCAGCAGGACCCTGCAGAGCTGCGCGCTCTACGGGAACTTTCCATGTAGGGTTTCCCTATTAAAAATCCCTTCTTACAAAAATCCCTACAAATGACATAAACAAAAAAGCATCGCACACGGATGCTGCGGAGCTTGAATCTGTGACGCTCGTGTGTCAAGACAGCGCTCTGCTTCATCAATGCGCATTATGCATCCTTTTCATACTGCTTTGTAGCCGGCGACAAAAACCGGTTCAAAGCTGTTCTTGCTGGTCCAGCAGCAGCTTGAACGCAGCTACAGGAGGAAACGCGCTGCTTCCTTTTTGCGCGCCTGGAGCGCACCGCAAACAGAAGAGCACAGAGTTCATCCGGGCAGACGGTGATGTGGAGGCTGTGGCCACAGCCTTATACGTGCTTCTTGTTTTTCTCTGGGCTACATCTTTAATCTCAAGTCATTGAAAAGTCAATAAGGAGGCTGCACACATACAGACCCGCGTATGAACAGACACAAAACTATTTTACTTATCTTCTTGCTATACAGCACCTCACAAAGTAATTGAAACGTTAAAATAATAATTAGAACAATCATGTACAAAATGAATTAACTTATCTAAATATACTTCTGCCTGGTATAGCTGAAAGTTGGGGGGGTTCATGTGCTGACGATGGGGGCTGGGTGTGGGTACTCTCCGTGAACCTATTGCCATGAGTCCAGTCTGAACCGGTTGATGGATGGTAATACCAATAGCAACACACTGTGCCAGCAGGGTGCACTGCTTGGAGTCCTCTCCGTGGTGAGCTTTGATTAAAGCAATAGGCTACATGCACACAACTCATAAAATAGTCTTAATTGGCCTGCCCTTCACTAAAACATAACAACAAGGTGATTGAACATTAAGGAATATAAGAGTGATACATGAATAGGCAACAAGAGGGGAGATAGATGACTATAGGATATGCTTAGTCCTTGTGTAAAGAGCAGGATCTGTCTTGTCCTCATTTAACTGAAGGAAATTATTGTCTTTAATGTCTTGGAGATAGTTTTGTAATTGAGTTAAATCTGCCTGATTTTGTGAATTGAGAGGCATGGATGTGTATATCATCAGCGTATGTGAAAATGAATGTAAGGAGATTGGATGATTCTTCCCGTTGGGAGCATGTAAAGACAGAAGAGAAATGGACCTATAACCGAACCCTGAGGAACCCCACATTTGCAGGTATGGAGGATGAGCTGCCAATGAAGAGTAGTAGATAAAGAGTATAGGCACACATAAACACAGAGTGGTAAAATGAAATAGATGTATCCAAGGAAACATAAGTAAATTATAGGCACACACTGACAGAATAGCTTGAATTAATATTGCTCCACGAAATTAAGATCAACAAAACTTGGTGGAGTTTAGTTGACTCCAACTTAAAAACAATCCTGATTCTGCAGAGAAACACCCAAGTAGTCGACTAAACATGTTTTTTAATTACAGTTAAATGAACACAAGCCCGATGTTGGTTACAGAGAAATCTTCTTGTGTGAAAGGAGAGAGAATAATTGCTCTTGGTCACATTGCAGCAGCATAACAAAGTTATATCATCATGTGATAGCACAGATTCTCATAACCTCAGGTCAGCAACACAGTGAAAGTCAGAAGAAAAAGCAGAGGAAAGGAGTGGAGAGAAGGGACGGGAAAGAAGAACACAAAGGAGACACGCGAAAGATGAAAGAACGAGGGGCAGAGTAAGAACATGGGAGGGATGAAGAGAGCAGATCAGAGGTCAGACTGGTTTTCACTATGAATGCAACTAAAATTCTTCAGGAACTTTGATGCTTTTTCTCCCCCATAGCTGAGGTCTGCTGCCTGGAAGGGTCTTACAGGAAAGATTTAGGCTTCATAATCCCTTTCTGCCCGAAAAATGATGTGAAAAAAGAACAAGGGAGGCACAGTTATTTGTACTCTACTCTGGCATTACATTGACATGTTGCCCCAGACCAGTTTCAACCAGATGTAGTGCATGTCGGGGACAGTGTGTAGGAATCTGAGGGAGGGAGTGGATTACAGCGCGGCTAGGGCGCACTACGAACACAATCAATGTTGGTGCTGAATTTCACTTGCTTGCATAAGGTATTTAGTACATTTATTGATACACACACACATTATTTGTTGAAAATTATGTGAAAACGTACCAGATATTGGGCCAACTTGTCACAAAAGCACATTCTGTACTTAACCATTTATAACTCTACATTAACGTGAGCAGTAAAAATTGAAAGATTATACATTTGTGCACAATAATTTGTTATTTAATTTAATATGGCAAGTGAGTGACTGATGTACTGAGAAATTGAAGTGAAAGCAAAAAGTGTGACGAGATGACCTGCGCTCCCCTCGCTCTTTCTCCTGCTGGACAAATATCCTGTATGACATCAACTGGTTCCACTGCATTAGGGTGGAGACACCTTCGACCTAAATCATTATTGGCCTATATCTAAGCTGACGAAAATGCTAGACTTACCGGTAAACTAACAACTCTGTCCAAAATGAAAATAGCTATTCAGAGCTCCTTTGGAACACCCATGGCCTTCAATGGTACTTTACGTAGGTCTACCCATTAAGCCCATGCCAATCTTTTGACATATTTTGATAAAATACACAATAAAAGCAATAGAAATTGGCATTGGCTCTGGGCATTTTGTGGTCCTCTTGGAAAATCCAATACTAACACAATGTTCTAAACCTATGGAGAAACTTCAAACTTTGCCTAAAAGCATGTGCGGTGGTACCAGCTGTTCGGTATTCCTGATAATACTTCTCCCTGGAACAAAGTCTTGGTTTTGTTTCATGCATAATGTGCCATATCAAAATGTATAGTCGCGAAGGCCCACATTTCCACTAATGCTTAGAGCTGGACTGAGTAGTTAAGTTTGCCTTTTATGTTCCAAAATGCAAATGTTGCTTTTAGTTTGTAATTGTTATTTTTGTGCTAGTTTATAGTTTTAACCATCAGTGGACATTACATTTCCTAAATACCATATTCTACTGTTACATGTTTGGGGTTTTCTTTCCTGTGATAACTGACTAAAACAGTGAATTACTGAACATTGCTTCCTGCCTCTTATAATGTGATATTAGCTGCAGTATTGTCAATCGGATAAATCAATGAGCTGATATCAAAAATCATCTTATTAAAGACATTACTTCTGCCCTCGCTGCAGAGCTCACGTTACTCATCCACAGCCCATAAATCAACCCACATAAACCCACTTTTCTTGGCAGTTTTTCATAAGCTAACCTGGTATTCTGACATTTCCCCAGCACTTTTTTTGACACCTTAGATGCAGCAGCCTGCTGTTCTTTTCCGTAAGAGATTTGGCAGGTGTAAACATACAGAGCCACCCTGCAGTCTGGATAAATATCTCTTGATTTCGGCCGCCCAGTTCCATAAAGCCGCAGAGGTCAAAGGCCCCGTTAGCACCCAGCAAGGCCACCCTGAGCCTCCAGTCCAGATTCCTGCTTGGATTAGTTCAGGTTGCCGGCTTCAGCAGCGAGAGAGCGCACCACAACGTGGTAGGAAAACACATTCTGGTGAGTTTGAACCGACCGTATGTGTGAATGCGCTACAGTTACCTGATGGAAGCTATAAAGTGTCATCTTTGCGCCGTTCTCCTCCCACCACAGGTTGTTGCACCTGTGGTGGTTGTCTTCATCAGCCAAGGCGGAAATAAGAAATACTGAATTGATTTACAGAACATAAGATGATGGGTGACAGGTTTTTGTTCAGCATGCCCAGTGATTTATAAAAAAAAGTCAATGTTATGTTATGTTTGGCAAAACTGTATCTAACACACGGGGAGCAACAGATTTATCAGAAAAGATTGAACAAACCAAAGATATGAAGCATGGCGTCTGTGCTGACGTACTCCACATAGTTGGCCTCAATGCAGAGTGAAATACACTTTCTGTATTTATTCATTATATACAGACACAAGTTAATATGTGGGAAGGTAGTGTACACACATTCAATGCTACTAAGTAGTGTGTGTACACTACTCGGTAGCATTTAGATTTGGCCAAAGCAGAAACACAAAAGCTTCTTACCTCCAAACAGTAACGTCCAGTCGTATCTGTTGTCTTTTACTGCACTACATAACTTTAATACCCCACCGTGAGTAGTTTTTAAAAAATTTAGTTTTGGTTTGCTCTTGAAGAAAATTAGTAATTTGAGTATTAAGTTATTTTTCTAGATTTAGTTAAACACTAAAGAACAAGGGACTCAAAATCCCAAAATGCCAAAAGTACTGCTGGTCAGTCCCAAACTCTGGCTGCAGCTTTAAGCTCGTCACCGAGGCTGACGGGAATGCCGTTAGTCTTGCAAGTACACGGTCATTAACTAAAGTTTCAGACAAGAAGAATATCTGACCTGATGAAGGTGCTATAGATGAAATGTCAGGGGATCAAAGTTATTACAATTCATCCTCTGGGGACCATGAGTGTCTCAACCAAATTTTCATAATTCCCAAAGGATCAATGTCAACCTCATGGCTGCCCTGGGAGAAAAGCCAGGGGATTACTTATGTAATAAGAACTATGGCAGTCTATTATTTCAGGTCATAACATATGGTAGTAAGACGACGATAAAACATGGACGTTTTGGAGTTTGGTGGGACCTCATGAAGGAAACATTCCAGTGAAGCTAAACACACGAAAAGATCAATCTAATTCAGAATCAGTGCACCTGTTAAGATCATAGAGAACAGGGTCATTTCAGCAGTTGTGAAGTCTACAAAGCTTGATTATCAATGTTTCACTCTTATGCTCACAAATGTGCAAATGTGTTATCCATAGAACCGACAGGTAAGAACAGAGGTCGTCATCTCAAGAGCTTTAATCATACATAGAAATTTAGTTCACCAGTACCATTCACTTAGAATGTTTTAGCAGTATGTATATTTAGTGTAAAGAGCGTTATGTTTTTTTTAGTTTTTTCTTTTTCTGATGAGGAATATCCACATGGATGATAGAAGCTTTCAGAAATACACCAAAAAGAGAGCGAGAGAGTACATGACTAAGTTGTAACACCTCAGACTACATTTTTAAACACCTCATAAGGCGACATTTATCTGTGGTTTATGTACCTGTGTCCATCCTTTTTTTCCTTTTCACTATAACTGAAGAGCAGCAGAGCCTGAAATGCTTTCAGAAACTAAATAACTGGCACGAGCTCGGTTTGATCAATGCCCTCTAATGGAGAAAGTCCAAGCGAGGTTTCTACGACGCCTCTCGTTAACCTAGTCGAAGCTGCGTTAAGCTCGGGGTCGGGTGACTTGTCGACACTGTTGCAGAGAGACAAAAAGGGGGAGAGGGGGGGGGGCTGGAGTGGAGTACATTACTGCAATCGAGTGTCATATTATAGGCATTAAAAGAATCAACCACATCCATCAGTTCATCCACTTCTCTAGCCATACATCAATCAATCCGTTGATTCAAACATCCAACCTATCGGAAAACACCACCATGAAACATACTTTGTGCGGTTTGTGCTATCTCAGAAGCGCCACAACATAAATTTTCAACCAGCTAATGTCCCAGGCAAAGAAAACAAAAAAACATCATGTACAAGACGGACTGTGGAACAGATAATTGGCCTACAAATCCCCAGAAGTGATTATTTTTCAGTCCATCCATTCCTTTTAATAGTTGGGGTTGATTTGGCAGACGGCCGGCTTCACTGAGGGTGAGCCGCCAGTCTTGTTTCTTTTCCCCTCTAAGACATTTGAAGCTGCTTCTTTTGTGGAGTTGGTAAAGAGTAAGAAACTTGACTTCCGGAGCTGGTAATGATGGAAGCGGCTGTTTGCGGTAGCATCGTGGCAATCAGCAGGCGCGCTCACGCTTAAAGACAAGAGACGGCGTGGTACGTTAAGGCTGGGAGGGAGGCTGCTGTGCTGCGTGCTGCGACATAGCTGCCGGGGAGGACATGGACTGCACCATGGGCTGAGCTGGTGGGGGGAGCGGAGGCGGAGCCTGCTGGGCCCCTGAGTGTGTGTTGGGGGAGGGCGGGGGCGTTGGACGTTTGAATTTGTCAGGACTGGTGCTTCTTCGTGGCGAGGGCCTCTGTTTTGAGAAAGAGAAGAAAAAAAGAAATTAATAAATAGGCCTCATCTTTTATAACAAACTAGTTTGATCAAAGATTAAAACAATAAAATACAAATATAAACATATAAACTACAGAGTAATAATTAATAATTGTAAAAGCATTAATACTGACACCAGTGCAAATTAGAAAAGCAATCAGAGTGCAACTAAAATAGAAACATTAGACTAAAAATCTAAAATGTATAAGACGTAACACTAACACCAGGGCCCAATAGGAACTAAAATAGACAATTAATAACGTCATATTGAGAGGAATATTATCAATGATGATAAAAACGAATAAGCAGTTAGAGGCAAAGTGTAAAAAAGAGAGGAAGTTGTGGCAGTTATTTTTGTTCAAACTACAAAAGTACAATAAGATGGTGAGTGCTGAGGTTGCTCATCTCCGTCATGGTTTCCATACTCAGCTATTGGTTATAAAGAGAAAAGAGGTTCAGAGTAAAATGAATCTGACTGAGGTTCTGAGTTATTTCTTTGTTTAACTCCTGGGTGGTCTGAGTGGTGATGGCAGAGATGTGGACTGTACCATCCACACAGATCAAGAGAACATGAAGGGATGTAAAATACCACAGAGGGAGAACACAAGAGATGGGGGTTTACAACAGAACAGTGGGAATAAATCAAGTGAGAAGTAGAGTCCCTTTCTCACAGACTTCCATACAGTCAAACTTATATTAGCAACCAGAGGAGTCGCCCCCTGCTGGTCAGGAGAGAGAATGCACGTTTATATCACCAAGTACGATATTGCATGATAGATACTCTGACACCGTTAAGACTGCGTAAATGGAAGAATTAGGATGGAACGAGTTCTTCCTCTCGGTCGTCTCCGTGCTTCACAGTAAAGACCCACAGTGACCAGCAGCTCATTTATATGCATCAATGCTCATACGGTGCTTTGCATTGACCGTTCATGGTTGAATGTGGGCGTGTAGAGGGCGGGATGTGAGGCTGTGCACATTTACAGGTAGATTTGGGATTTATAAAAGGAAATAGCTCACTGGCAGACGTATGCAAGGTTTTATAAATCTGAATATTTTTTTTGCCGTACGTGCATTTCCTTCTTTGAACGTAGGCAAACAGTTAGTGTGGATCCTACGCACTGACCCCTGAACAGTACAGCTGTAAATAAATTGAATATTTAAACCAACAGACAGCCCTCAGACTAACAGCACAAGAGCTGGCTCCTTTAAGTGTTGTTGCATGCTGCGTTATATTTTGGGAGGCCAGTTATGACTGCAGGCTCAAGGACCTCTAAACTAACAGCAATAGTTTAAGAAAATATTTCGAGTAAGATATGAATGAGATAATAAAGACGTACTTTAAGTCATGCTGACCTTAATTGACACAGTCGATGTTATTCATAACTGAAACTAAAACACATCGGTAGGCTGGGGGAACAAAGAATGTAACAAACTCAGATGAGGTGTGTTGATTCAGTTATTGCCGTGTTATTGAAAAGATAAATGCACAGCCGACTGGACCTTGATATTTATGGCGCTTTCATATGTTCTCCTTGGATCAATGTAAGAGGGATATTTTGAATGCCATAGCAACAATATCTGTGTGATGGCCAAGCCAGTTTAAGATCTGCAAATCTTCACACCAATAAACTTTTCATTGGATTTCTTAACTTCCTGGAATAAATGTTTGAGCCCTGGGTTGCAAACTCCCGCCATGTTGTTTAGGAGGCGTGGGTGGATGTTACTTACGGTTACGGCATGAGAGGAGCTCCCGTGGACGTGCAGGGCGGGGGTGTTGTAGTGGGAGATGGCCGCTCTGGACAGTGTAGCTGGAGGAGTGAAGCCAACTGTGTGGCTGCCATACGACAGACCTGTGACACAGACAGGAAGGCAGACACATAAAGAGAAAGTTGCACATACTGTATGTGCTTTCTTTGTATTGAACTATAAATACAACTCTTGGTTGCTGAGCCTGAAGTACTGCTCTGTCTCTACTTTACACCAGATATCAGGAGTGATAGGTGGTTTCTCTAGAGCGCTCGAGCACCTGCTCTCTGTTTTATCATTGTGTAAACATTTAGGCCGTAAACGGATATCCCTCTGAGTCACACCGAGCAGGATTGTTGGCGACATGACATTCAGCTGCGACTGCTGTATGAGAGCGGGACAGAGCAGCCGCCAGTGAGCTACACCGACATGCAGGAACATGCACCAAGAGGCTGGCCCGGCTACGTCAACAAAATAAAGGAACAGCTAAGATAACAACACACACAGAGGGAGAGAGACGTCTTTCTATTCTCAGGTAGACTTTACTCCATTATAGCTTTACATAGATGATAGTTGTTTGATGCTTTATTAATGTTAAAGATATTAAATACAAGATTGTTGCTACACAACCACCTTCTCCTGTGAATCTTGATGAGATAAATGAATTTGGCAGTAAAGCATTTGTTATGCAAGCAGGATGACTTTTTATGATCCTGCTGATGTCCTCAGAAACAAAGGCGGAAGGTACCGTCAGTATTAAGGAAGCGAGCGAGCGGGTCATTCGATTGGACGGAGAATACGGCGCAAACATTATTTTACAGCCACCTGTAGAGAGAATGCATTTATGGTTTCACTGACCTTTAAAAGACTTCAACTTATCAATGATTGATTGTTCCACATTTGACACGATAGATGATGGATTTCATTGTTAATCTTTGTTACAAAGATAAAGCTTGTTCTCAGGAAACAAGTTCTATTCATTTATATATTTATTTATTGATTTCGCGACATCTTAGATGTACTTACCAGGAGAGATGGGCCGGCTGGAGCTGGGGGAGGGGCTGTAGGGGATGGGGCTCGACACAGTCCTCGCCCGCAAGCCCTGTGCAGACATCTCGTTGAAGTACCTGAGGGCGACATGACCGGTCAACGAACATACAATAGATGTCGATGTGAACCCTCTGTGTGCGCAGGAATGTGTTTTGATATCTTTGGTTCTTTTCTGAAATATAATCTTTTGTTATTCAAGGACCATACTTGTGCTTTTGTATGTTTCACGCCCTCTTGCCAGTACTGGAGAAAGCTGCAAGTTGATTTCATCGTTTATGTACAAAGCCAGTAGTACGACCTTTCAGAAGGTTTATGCACATGTCATTTCAAGTACAACTTCATCGACATTATTCTGTCAATATGATTAGGATTGAAAAAAAAATATAATGTACATTATAGCACCTTTTAGCTACAAAATGACAAAAAGGTACTTAAAAAAGCAGGAGCACAAACAACAAAAAAGCATCACAGACAAAAATAAAATGAACACTGACATAACAAGCAATAAAGTGTGTGCAACAGACAATCAAAAAAAAAAAAAGATAACAATGAGATGATCTCATACGAACGGAGATGGAGCAGTGTGATTGTGACTGTGTGTGAAACCTGAAGAGCCATCACTACAAACTCATATTCAATGTCACAACTGACCGGGGAACCATCTGGGGATCCCGTGGGTGCCTGAGCTTTAAGGGGAACAGCTGCCAGTAGGAAAAGGGATCCCACATAAGAGTCCAAATACGCTGATAGAGAGAAGGCAGTCTTTGGCTCAAATGGTCCCGATAGTTCGGCTCTTTTTCCAATTACATTAAGCAAACACAGATCTGGCAAGGTAAAACCAGGCAACGGCTAATTATTTTGATGTCTCACTGTATCAATATTGGCGTCTTACGCAATCTTGGCGTCTGTGGCCTGAATGGAAACTGTGCGGCAGGATTTAGCAAGTGGCCAATGGAGCCAAATGCCTCTCCAGTACACAAACCACGCCAAGTCTCTCAACAACGTCACTTGATTTGTTGACACATGTGATTTTGGTATTGTGACCCGTTTGATAATTCTCTACCTCTCATCGTCCATCTCCAGACTGGATTCGCTCTCTGACAGTTGTCTGCACAGCGCCTCCCTGCGCTCCATCTCTCTCTGAAGCTTCCTTTGCAGCCGGATGTTCTCCTCCCGCATGTGTCGCTCCTCCTCGATGTACTGCGCTCGCTTCTCTGTGTCTGGGGGGGGAGAACACACACGCAGAACAAATTACATCAGTTGAGATGTTGTCTGGATCACATCCTCACTAAACGTCAACATAAAGGACAACAGCATCCGTGCGTTTCATGTCAAAATTGCACAATAACCCAATTAAAAAGGCCATTGTCTAAAATCTGTGCAGAGATAATGAAATCCCCTTCAAAGAGCTTAAAAGGCAAACCACTTTGTTTTCAAAATTCTCTTTTTACAAAAATAAAGAGAGTGGGTCACTGAAGATTACAGTTTCTGAAAAGGTGAGCAGTGTCATGATATTTACAGTAGCAGTACTGGCAGTTGACTCAGCGTCTCAGAAAGTAGAATAAAGGTTGGACAGACAGACAGCGCCCTCTAGTGGCAGAAAGAAAGCATAGACGGAATACTGCTGAGAGAAACCTCAAGACATGTGATCAGACTTTTTAAGTCATTTCTCTAAGATATAATTGAGCTGAATCACCACTGCTGATTATCTGAACAACAAACAAGTGTTGGACAAAATAACTTTTGCTGATTTGCTGTTGTACTGCGAGATGCTTCTACTATTTTGTCCACGCCCTATGAGCCATAAGACATGTCACTCTGCAAACACAGTTGATAATGCAGAGACCAAGAATAAAATTAAGTGACGGTAGGAGTTACTGCAGCAGGTGTGGCTGACTAATAATTTAAAAAAAGATACTGGCAGGAGATAGTAAGGCATTATTGTGTGTGTGTGAGTGCAAGTAGACTACAGGGTTTCAGAGACCAAATCAAAAAATAAGCCGTCACTACATTTTTAATTATGAAAATAAGTGTCATCCTAAAGACAAAGCTGGTGCATATTTCTCAGTAAACATTGTCCATAGCTGCCTGTCATCTACAAATAACAAAACGTGTACCATGTTATTTCATCGCAATGTCACAAGCAACAACGATCCTTTGTTACTTTGAATCACTGGATCATTTTTTGATGCGTTCCTGACCAGAGTTTAGCTGGTCAATAGAGTTTCACTGATGCTCCCTAAAATCATAAAGCAAGTCATAATGTCACCAGAAGATGCAAGTGTTTTTGTATTCTAATTTTCTTGCCATTTCTTAATTTTACCTGTAGCCTTATCTTATCCCCGAACAGATGGTTTTTATCACTTCACACAACAACAAAGCTTTAATCTGAACACCATCTATAGACTTTAGATTGATTTTCTTTTTCTATTTGAAAAAAGGTATGGAAGTCTACTTTAAGAGTCTTGAATTATCTATACGGTTGGCTATCAATCATAGTCTCTTTATGGTCCAAGTATCTTATCGGCGAGATAAAATACAGTTGTGACTGTTCTGAAAACTCCTTACTGGTGCATGAGTTTATAAAATGACATAGTATGTTTTAGTCTATTCCCAAATAACATTCTATTAACTGCAATTGCCAGATAAAAAGAAAATGTTGCAACAGTCCTCAGAGGCGTCCTCAAATGCACCAAGGACACTTCTTAAAAATGGTACCCGCTTGCATTTCCATGCAGTATTAATGTTTTTATATTTATATTTATATATATATATATATATAAAAAATACACTAGATCTGGACCGGTCTAGCTTGCTGTGTCAGTCGGTCCTCATGTTGTATATTTAATGGACTGGCTTTTAGTGAAAGAAGGGGGAAATGCTTTATGACTAACATTGACTTTCATAGATGCTTGTTGTGCATCACTGTGCATTCCCACTTCTTCGTATACGTTAAGTATCACCAGGTGTAATGTGACCGGTGAATAACGAGCAGGTAACAAAGATGTAAAGCATGTCAGACAACACCAGAGAGTATCTGGTTTCTTTCCGGTCTATGGAAAACAAGCCGTGTCTGAGTGTTGGGTGAGTTTGCCCCTCATACTGTAGCTCATCAGAGGATCCGTTTTACTAATCAAATCCTTAATCAACACTTGAAGGCACATCTGCCCCCACTGAGCCCACACTCCCTTTAGATCGTGTGACAAGTTGAGAGGCCACTTACGTTGCAGCTCGGTGGTGCGCAAGCTTTTCTTCAGCCTCTCCACCTCGTTCTTCAGGAAACGGATATGCCGCATCATGTTCTCTGGCGAGTCTATCTCCATTGAAACGTCTCTTGGGGAGGGAGGAGCTGAGACTGGCTGGTCCAACTTCTCTTGAAGGATTCTAGTTCGGAAAAACAAAAGAAAGAACATCGTTATTAAAATGTATCAACGGAGATGATGGGCAGATAATTACAAACAAAATCTGGCCTTTCAGGAGGAAATCAATCAGCCTACAGTTAGCAGATTATTGGTCATTTTACTTTGAAGTGAAGCTGAGAAACTTTCTGTTTTTGATGACAAGCAGGCATTTTGTGCGTCTGTCAAACAAAAAAAGATCGCAAAAAACATTTATTAAAAATAGTGTGTTTCACCATGTTCAAAAAAACAAGGCGCTATTAATGAACTGCTACATTTTATATTACGCTTCCAAATATATCAAAAGCAAACAAAATAAGCAATACACTCCAATCACTATATTAAAACCTGTTAAATGTGAGGTGATGGCACAATTAAAAGGTTTAGTAATTACAGTGTAATATAAGTAGTTTTACACATATACGTCACAGCCAACCCATCAGGTTTCATACTTTTCACTAGGGCTGAAACTACGTCTACATGTATAGATTAGTTGATGAACAGAGGATCCACAACATGTTGCTGAAAACAAGCTTTGAATCCAGGCGGATGTTTAAATGTCCATCGTGGTGGACATATGATATGATCATTCCGCACCTTTTCTCGGCCTCCAGTTTGTCCATCCGTTTCCACAGTCTGTTGACCAGGGCTTCTTGTTCCTGCTCTAATGTGTTCTCAAGATCGATCTTCTCCCGCCTCAACTGGAGAACAAAAGGAAGCGCGACGTTCAGAGGTAGAAAAAAAACTTGGCGTTGAAAAGAATCCACAAAACTGCACACAAAGACACTGTAATGCGAAACCCAAGGTCTCTGTGAAAGATAAGCTTCTCTTTCACAGAGCTACAGTCTCTATGCTCCTAAAGCTATTAGTGTTTGTGTGGTGAGGTTAAGTGACATTCTTGGTAAACATTAGTTTAACTAAATGTACAGTAACATCAAGCATCACTCTGACATATACATTCATGAGTGAGCAGCAATAACAATGCATCTCCAGAAAGATCCTGTCATCACAACATGGAAACACATGCCTTGGCTTCAGCACACACAGGTTTGACTCACAGACCAAAATGTTCTTTCCAGCTAAAATTCTGTGGGACGAATTAAGGATGGTGAACTGTTGGTGTCTCACAACACCACAACTGGACAGACTTGTTCAGGGATGTAATGAAACGTTCTTGATCTGGCCCAATTAGTATACCTGTTCCAGGGTTAGCTGCTTTGAGATGGTTTCATTCTCCATCTTTTTGATCTTTTTCATGAGCTTGTTGACCTGGAACTCCTGCTCTTGCTCCAAGTGCTGCTCCAACTCGGCCTTCTCATGCTGGAGCTAAGGATGGAAAAAAAAAGGGAAAGACGGCGAATGAACAGAGGAAAAGAAGAGGAGGCGGATGAAAGGAGAGAGAGATGAGAAAGAAGGAGAGAGGGGAAACGGCACAAGAGGCGCACGGTGAGTCACGTAAAAACTATTCAATGACCACAGTGAACCAACACAGGTCATCACATTTAGCTTACACATTCAGAGTTTAGCAAAACAGGAAGCCAATGTTACCATTCTATCAGATGCACGGTGAAACTTCCCAGAGGAGTAAACGGCATAAAATAATGATTTGGCAAAAGAAAGTAACCGCCGTTGGCAGTCCACCAATACAAAGACAGGGTGCGGCTCAGCAGTGATTCAAACTGTGCGATGAATTATATAAGCTATTACTCAGTACAGGGAATAGGATGCAAATCCATTCATAGGAAAAGACCGGAGAGGGCAACATAACCATTTCCATCATGCTACTAACAGAAACAGAAACAAAGCAGGGCAGTTTGTATAAACCAACAATGGCTGCATTCATACGGAGTCGAGTCCTGGCTGAAACAACAAGCCACCAAGTTTTGCCACACCCAGTGCGGTCATTTTTCTTCCAATTAACACACCAACAATGTCAGGTATTGTTTTGATAATTTGTCTCCATTTAGCCAAAAACAACTGCCAGCTACAACAGGCTTCCACCCAACTGTGCTGTGAGTGGCAACTACGCCCGAGTCTGTTAGTTTCAGTCTATGGACACCGAGCAGAGATATTTTATCTCACTTAGGTTCTTCTGTTCATTTGTAAATAATACATGAATGGTGGCACTGTGCTCATGTCTGCATAATGTACATAATAGTGCCTCTAAAAGGACAGATCTAAATTGGCACATTGCAGGATTTAAGAAAGGGGGACACAGTATCGCTCATAAACTGTGCTGACATCAAATACCTGCTGATGTACTTGTATCATTTGGCTGCTCTAGTTTAGACAACTAAAGTAAAAAGTCCATCATGAAAAGTAATGGTGGGGAAAACGCAAGTCAGAAAAAAAAAAAAAAAAAAACAGGTTTACAAAAGTGCTTTTGCACCGGAGCATTTTACGTCCTATAAAATAAACAACCACATTTGCTCAACTCTCCCTCAGTCGTCACAAGAATATAACATTTTAGTTTATAGAATATATACACGTGTACAGACACACAGACTTTGGGCCATTTGTCAGCACCAAGTCGACGGACAGAGACAGACACAGGTCCGTTTCATTTCATGTTGAGTGAGAAGCAAAAACCCAAACAAGTCCATCTGTATGACCTTAAACAGGGGGTGCCGAGGCATTTCATGTATCCCCTTTCCAGACTCCCACTTCTTTGCAAATCAACAAACCATTAGTCAGCCTACAGCCAGCCATTGAAAGTGTGAGCGCATGCGTGTACGTGCTGTGCCACTCTGCAGTTGGGAAACTAAGATGTGGAAAACAGACAACCAAATAACCGGCATAAAGGGAGGCAAGTCATTTGAGAGTAATTTAGAATAGCTAGCAGCCACAGTGAAGTCATCTTGAGCCTTTCCAGGGTTCAGGAAAGTACCAATACATTTAATGGTAATGCAATAGCTGCTGTGCACTCATACTTGAGGTTGGGTGCATAGACACCCAACCCTGTAAGCTCAAGCTGTACACGACAACAATACTGCAGCCATTTGCATTATCTGTACATCAACCAGGGTGAAAAATCTAACTGATGTTATTCACCATGGTGCCTGGTACAAACAACTTCAACCAGCGTATACCCTCCCCCCCGATCACTCACATTCATGAGTTTCCTTGACAGTTCATTGGTGAGAAATTCCTCCTCCTTCTCATAGTTGACCGCCAAAGTCTCCTTCTCCTTCTGGAGGGCCTGGATCTTCTTGAACAAGGTGTTGCTGATAAATTCCTCCTCTTGCTCCGCTCTTGCTTGCTGCAGGACAGAAACAAATGAGAGACAGTGGCAACATCAGTGACGTACACTCTTCTGAGATCGGGCACATCACATTCTTATCCTGATTAAATTGACCAGCGACCACTAACCGTGCTGCAAACATACGCACCAATCAAACTAAATCTACTGCAGTGAAATCTCCCAGCCAAAGAGGAAGCAGAGTTTTCCCCTAATGACTCAATGGGTGTTGCAGTACTGACAGTGAGGGGAAGAGTGAAACACTGAGGAAACGTGTGGGACAGCTACAACGGCTAGCATTACAGTGTGATGATACGTCTGTCCTTGTTGGTACCAGTCTCATATCATCCATCCCCGTTATTCACCGACCTCAACGCTAAAAATACTGTTTTGCAAGCCGGTAGAATTTGTCAGTTGTTGAAGAACAATGAGGGGGACAACAGAAAGCAAACTGCTATCTGAGCCTCACACGTTTACCGCGGGTGCACTGTGGCTGACTTGCCAACATATGAGCCTGGCATTTAGCTAGCACGCTAAGTTTGGCCTACATACTTCCCCATCTATCCAACAGATCGGTTACACATTTTATGAAGCTGTGGCTGATAAACCATGACGCATAGGTCCATGCCAATGCTGCGAGGATATTCATTTCCCCCCAGTTACCGTATCCTCGTCCTGGCATAACGTGGTGACAATGTCTAGCAGTGAGTTATCAGATGACCAAATTGCTAACATCCGTAGGTAACTTGCATCGTGAGGTGCCCACCTCATTTTGCCGCAGTTCAACGTAACGCTACCCGTTGAGCTAACGTTAGCAAATAATTAGCAACCAAAACAAAACAAAGCAAACTAGCTGGCTGTAGCTGTCCAACCACCTAGCAACGTTAGCCCCACTGGCTACATTAGCAACATACCAAACTAGCGTTAGCTAATGTCAGTTGAGCTAGCAAAACACCAGAGTGTTGTGATAAAATACAGATAACATGTCCACGTAACACTTCAAATATGCCAACACTGGCTATTTAACGGTAAACAAACAGCATTAGCCATCGCCAACTTGCTGACAAATGTAATATAATAAGTGGTTAGCATGTAGCTAAGCTAGCTAACGTTACTCACAATGGTGACGCTAGCTTTGCGGAGGTCCCGATTCTCCTCCTGCAGGGCTTTGCACTTGAGTTTGAACGTCTCCAGCTCAATTTTAAGAACTTTATTCTCTTGCTGTAAGGAGGCCAGGCGGTTCGTCAGTTCCTCCAGGCGAAACTGTGAAATGACTACGCTCGGTTTCCCCGAATTTGAAGCGGAGGAGGACATCGGGGTGGCCGAGCTGCTGCCCGCTCCGTCGGTGTCACTCTCGCTTGCGCTGTCGGCCATGGCTGTGCGACAGTGTGGAGTGTGTGTGGGGAGGAGGACGGAGGCAGCTGCAGCGTTTGTGGAGCGCAGACAGCAGAATGGTACACCGTGTGACCTTGCGCTCGCGTGTCAGCATAGCGCCACCACCAGGATGTCTCCAGTACCGCGCGATGCATCCACGACACATGACACTGGAACCTTTAATGCATTTTGAGCTGAACGACAAGAGCATTTAACTGTGCCCTGTCTTGTCTACTCGTTTAATTTAAAAGGTGGTTATTCCTAAAAGCATTTGTGTTTATTCAAAGCACCACAAAGAGGTGAAAATATGGGACTGATCATACTGTGGGAAGATTTGCTATGTAAAATAAATCATCAGTAAGTGGAAGAGCATTTCTCTACTGTGTTCCGCCTCTAAGAAAAGACTAGACAGTACCACTAGTATAAATATTTTCTTGTCCTTTAGTAACAACAAATTATACATCATCTGCATAAAACATACATTTAAAGTGGGATATGAAATATTAATAAATCATACATGTGAGAGGCAAGACTTGGTTGGACTGCTTTGAAATAATGTTTACTTTTTATTATTTATTGTGGGGCGTCTGAGGCTCAGGGGTTAGAGGTTATCCTCTAATCAGGGTTGGTGGTTCGATCCCAGACTCCCCCTGTCCACATGACAAAGTGTCCTCTGGCTTTGTAAATGCAGTCCATTAATTACTTATTCAACACAAATTAGTAATATCCACATGGGGAAACTCTTGTTTCCTGGCCCCAACAATATGGTCCAAACATAGAAACAAGCAGCCCTGGAGATTTTTTGCTGAAGGACACTTTGGTGGGGACTTGGAGGCAGCACATAACTCTAATTGAAGGGCAGTGTCTCATCACTTACATAATTAAAAAAATGTTCAAGGACACAAAGACAAGACAAGAGAAACAATTGTATTGCGAAATCAATGCATTTTTATTTTTTTATTTTTAGGATTTTTTATTTTTTTTAAAGACGTCTGAAACATTTGTGGTGGCATCATTGCTGCTATAGCCTCTAAAAGACCTTGAATAACCAAAGTGCTAGAATAGTTACATTTCAATGGCTTCACTCTTGTTAGTAAGAATTGTACATCAAAAAATCTGCTCAGGTGAAAACACATATCAAACAAAATTGACAGTTCAACCATATCAAAGGATCGTCTACCCCCTGATTGACACAGTAGTATAAGGGGATGTGGTACAGCACCCTATCTGACTTCCTTTATAATCCCCCCCCCCCCCCTCCCACCCCAAAAAAAGTCACATGATTTTCATGTCCACAGCATAGACATCAGCATACTGAGCCATTGCATCAGTAGAACACCACACTTGAACTACATGGGCATCTAATGAAAACCAATACAAAGATAATTCCTAATGTAAAGTAAAAATTTTCGACACTGCATATACAGACTCTCAAGCCTAAAGAGATCACACTGTTTCAGAGTTAAACACAATTTATTTAATGCTTAAATCAATGTTTTTCACCATTCAGTGTTTTTGTCATAGAATATGCTATTCAGATCTACAATCAAATAATGTCTTTATGTGTCCTTAATGTGAGTAGGTTTTAAATTAAGGAAATACATCACCAAAAAAAAATCTAAAATGAAATGCCCCCGTTTTCCTTTAATGCCACAGCAGCCGTTAGAAAACCAAATTGACACACTGCAAAAATGATTACAAACAGTCTAACAGTGTACAGAGACTCCTACATCTTATAGCCAATACGCACAATACAGTTATAATTTTACAGCGAGCCAGCCTACTAGCAGTACATTCAGATTACTTCGTTCTTGTAGCAGAAGCTGCCCTCCGGTTTTACACAGACAGACAAGACATCACGCCCTCAAGAAGCTATCAAACTCTTTTTTCATCCTCATCCCAACATGATAAAGGTTTTAATGGTAGTGTTTTTCCACTTTAAAGTATAAAATCGGTGACAAATGTTAGGGCTATATGTGTACACAGATAAAGGGGTTTATTTGTCATTTGAATACAGTGTTTGCAAACTTGTAAAAGTTGTACTTAAAATAATGTGAACAGCATGCATGAAAATATGAGTACTCTGAAAGGCTGCATTTTGTAGGATTAGATCCATTCCCACTTTGGGAATTAATGAAATTAGATTTTCTGGAAATTTCCTTTGTTAAAATCAAACCAGCTTTTTTTTGTTTCATGTACAAACATTATACCTGCTCTAATAGTTAATTATACAAGAACCTGTGAAGTTACACTCAAATCTTTAAAAGTGGAACCGTTTCGATAAGTTTTGAAAGCACTTGAAAAGGTTACTCTCCTCAGTGCGTTCTCAACCACTAGCGTACGCTTTATTAAGAACTTTACACATTGTAATTTTATATACAGAAAACAGCTTTTGTGTTAGTATAAGTTTTAAAAAGGAAGAAAAAAAAAAATCCCAAAACAATTTACATCCTGACAACAATGGTTTTCAAGAAAAAACTATAAGGCGAGTGTTGAAGTTGGATCAGAAGTGTTCCATTAGATTTTTTGTTTGTTTGTGTTTTTGTGTCTACTTCATTCTTTCCACCCACCTCGTGGATTGAGCTCTTGTGCCATCTTTGGTCACAGTTACACCTGTGTGGTCGTCAGTAATGGAGTCTTTTATCGCTTTCACAACAAATGACGCTCCTCAAACAAAGCTCTGACAACACCAGTGGACCGATGGCACGTATCGTTTCACACAAAACAGGAAGCAGAATCATCGTCCACGGGGTCCACCACAGTCAGAAGGCCGGAACCTCTCGGTCCTATCATTGACAGGAAGTGAGTTTCTCATGCTCATGCGTAAGTCAGAAGGGTCAACTCCTCTCACGTGAAAAAACGTTTGTTTGAAGCAGATAGTTGCAGACTGGACCCTGAAGTCGTCACACTGAAGCTCTCTAGCCCTCTGAACTCTTATTCCCAGGAAACATCTGACTCTGTTCCTGTACCTCTGTAACACACAAGATAGTACATCACATATTGGAGCACACTATTTATAGGTTACAATTGCCAGTAGTGATGCTGAATGCCATACATTTCCTAATATCTACAATTGTACATTGTTTTTAAATGAAATATTATCTTATTGTACATATTAAATTCAATTCAAAGGGTGTAACCTTTCTCTCATTTTTTCTACATCTTCCAATCCTTTGAATGACAACATGTTAACAAGACCTGATGGTCCGTGGGTTGGTACAGTTACCAAAGAAACCCTTTTCCAGGTGTCACAGTAGTGCCATATTATTTCTGAGTCAGTTTTGTACAGATGGAATGATTCACTGCAAACACAACACACGGGTGAACAGCAGTAGGGATTAACAGTCTGGCCAGTGGGATAACAAACTCTTTTTGGATTCTACAATGCTGTTGTGAGTTGGGGATTTAGCGGACAAAAACAGGCATGGAGGGTATCAGTGGGGCAATATAATGCTGAGGTGTGTACCGCCCGTCAGCCTGTTCCCTGTTCACACACACTCACTCAGTGAACACGGAGAGCAGAAATGTTGCCAGGGAATAACCAGGCTCAGACATCAGTCAGCCTTTTTCCTTTTGAGTCTGTCGGACAGTGAGACAGAACCACTATCTGGGGAGGGGTAAATTAAAGGGATAGTTTGACATTTGGCTTTGTTAAGATCAATATCGCTCTCAAGTCTGTGATCAGGTACAGAGCTGCTGCCAGGAGGTGATTAGCAAAGCATGAAGACTGGAGGCACAAGGAAACAGCTAGCTTGGCTCTGTCCAAAGTAAAGAAAATACAACTACCAGCATCTCTACAGGTAATTAACGCATTAACTTGATTGGTTAACATCATGGACATATTATAAGTACTGGATACCGGACCTCAAGATAGCGCCTACAAAAGTTTTCTAGCTTCCAGGTTTTACTTCCAGGGGTGTGCGGTCCACTGAATATGCTCAGTAGTGTTTCTCCTGCCGGGCCCCGCACGCAAACTGTTGCTCTGTTACATTGTAATGACGTCACAGATGTTTAAATTGCTTTTCTCGGCTTAAGGAAGGTTTAACAAATTTAAAACCTCATAAAATATTCATAATAGATGCAATACCGCGAGTGGCCACGGGGCAAAATTGGAAGCAACGGCTGAGCGGCGGCTCCGTCACCACAGTGAACAGTGTACCCCTATGTACAGATACATACTGCACATGGATTCATTCACACTATACACACATGCTATGCTGATTGTGTTACGGCACTGTACCTGGTAGAGCACAACCATCCCTATGAGTGTAGCTTTTTGTCCCCTGATCTTCTGTCATCCTTTCGTCTGCTATTCCTTGACCCTTCTCCTTGCTAGAAGACACAAACACACGCAGAAAAATAGTTGAGACGTGGCATTCTTATCATCCGATAGGAGGAAAGCAACCCAACACACAAACCTGGAACACAAAACTGAGACAAAGGAGAAAGCAAAACTCCACACACTGTAGGAAAAGCAATCAGAAACTTGTTAGTAGTAGCTTAATTGTTAGGAATATTATCAGGACACAAACCACACAGCAACCAGATTGATCTGGAGGAAGACAGGTTATATATTATTGTGGAAAGAGTTAGAAACAAAAGAGGCAGATTGTATTTTCACAGCAGAGTCACGGCACTCAGTCATATTGTTGACTAATCGGCTAAACACTTTAAAACACCATTAAAACCACACAGTCAGAAGCAGAGTCAGCATCCACTTTGTAATGCAAACACAATGGACACCACACAGTGTCAAAAGACAACATGCAAGAATGCACTTCAAATGGCTGCATTTACATTTATTTGCCCAGAAGAGAGATCATGAGAACAGTTATCCTGAACCAGTTAATCCAATGTTAATTAAAATTCCACCTGCACCGCTGGAGGAAAACATGATCACATCTAACTGATCCTCTGTTTGACTTTATTGTTCGACTTAAAGTTGCACTCAAACAGCAGTGACACTGTGCTTTTTTAAGAGACAGTATTTCTTTCTCAACCTCTTTAACCCAAATGTCCCTTTTAACAACCCCCCTAAAGAAGCTTTAAAGTTAAGAAAAGTATTTTATTCACATGCGAGACAATTTCCCACAGTACATGTATTCTGTATCTGCTTGTTCCAGCACTTCGGTGAAGCTATATGCAGCTCACATTGAGGGAAATATTGTGAAAAAATATGTTTTTTGTGTCATTTTATCTCAATTTATATCTGATTCATTACATATTTCCAATTGTTCTTTTCTGTTACAGCCCCAGTTTGTGGTTTAGGCGGTTTAAATTGTATTTTTTTAACATTTAGTCTAACTTTTGTATTATCTGTTAACCTTCCACTAGTTATGTTCTCCTAACTCCTCATCCAGCTAACCAATCCAGATTAGAGCGTGAACCCAGGAACACAGTTAAAGGGTATCCTTCATGCCAACCTCTGACCGTCTTCCTGCAGAGGGGGACTGTGCTGAAGGTCTCGGTCCCACCTGTCACCTCCTTGGTTTTCTGGTGTGGGAGTAGAAACCCGCCGAATAACCTTCCTGATTACCTGCCCGTGCAAGAAGGATGTCAACAAAAAGAAAAAGAAAAGATCTGATGGAGTCTGCTTTTATAAAAACAAACTCTCCCTGTGATGGTTTCTTTCAGAGCTGAATGAGAAACGGATTAGTGATATAAGTTATACGTTACTTTTCTACTGACGAGGTTACCATCGTGGTCCATATAGTGTTCCTCGGTCACAGACTCGCCTGGGACATTCTTTGCTTGTTCTCCCTGCAAGCGTTTGTGGTTAGCACATGAATAAAAGCTCAGAAATGGCCGATTCAAACGTGATAAAACAATCCTTCACCATCACCACACCGAAGCATCACCTCAAGAGACAACCTCCGTGTCAGAAAGAAGCTGAGAACTATGTTAGTTTTCAACCAGCCAATCTAAACACCATGAGCTGTGACAGGTTGAATAGTCATGTACACAAACATGACTATCACAACATCTATAAACTATCAGTACAACCAAACAATACCACTACAATGCACACCAGACTGAGCGGTCTAAACCAAACCACACCAAAGCTCAGCCCCGCTTCTGCTCCAGGCTTTCGGGATACCTTTAAAATGAGATGGCGTCTGAAGATTCTGGTGGTTACAGTCTGTTCTTCCTCTGAACCGGAATCTACACTAAGCCGCTGCCGAGGAAGGGTTTATAAGATCATTACACAAACACATGGAGGGAGTCAAGACGAGGAAGCAGCAAGGAAATTAGTTAGTAGAGACTTTTTTGTTGATGTCCTTTATGTACTTCAACTCCACGGTTGGCTGTATGAAAAAAAGAGAAACCTGGAATAAAACAGTGACGTTTTTGTTTCCTCAGCGCAACTCATACCACAGGTTTAGAGGCCTCTCCTGCAATAACAATATAATATAGTGCTTTGGCAGCTACAGATAACTATGTTCGACGCTGTCATAATGATTGTTTAGGGTATTTTCAATTGGTTAATTCTTATTACCTGGACTTTTTTCTCCGATACGAGTGCTCCCTCTTCCTTTCTGCCATTCGATGATCCCGATGAGCGGTCCTGAGGTGAGTGCTTTGAGTTGTTGCCGTTCTGTCGCGACCTCCCTGATTCGCCCCTAGACGAGGAAGTGATGGAGTCACTGGAGTTCTCTTGGCTGTTGGCGAAGAAGCGCAGAGTTAGGATTGTAGCAGGATAGCATGTTTAAGTACTTTATTCACATGCAAGACAATTTCACACGGTATATTTATTCTATATCTGCTTGTTCTATCACGTCGGTGAAGCGATATGCAGCTCACACTGAGTGAAATATTGTGAAAAAATATGTTTTTTGTGACTGAGAAGATGTCTGTAAAAGATGCACAAGTAAAAGCAGTAGATCTCAAATTCAAATTGACAAAAAATTGTTGTCGGGCTGGGAGGGATTCTGTTTGCCTCTAGTTGTTTAATACTTTTACCTTTCCCGCCTGTCGAGCCGGTCTGAGCTGACACTGCGGCCTGGCGTTGGTGGTTCCACATTGACGCTGGATGAATCACTGTGCCAACCTGAAAGTGAACACACTTCTTTTTCTGCCTGTTCAACCTGATCAAGAATCTCCTGAACACTGGCCTCGGTCATCTCTCTGTCCTCCTCCTTCTCCTCTGAGCCTTCTTCTTTCTCCACCTCCTCCAACAGAGAGGCCTCTTCTGTGATTTCTTTGTCTCTGTTTCCCTCCTCTTCTTCCTCACTGGATTCAGACTCACTGGGCTGACGTTCCCCAAGAGCCTCAACCCAGTCCTGAGGGGAGACGGGAGCAACGGCTTGCTCCTGGGCTGCCTGGTCCCCTTCTTTTGTCCCACAAATATCTCTTTCACTGCCACACAACCCTTCTTCATCTTTAAACTGCAGTTGTCCATCTGTGTCATCCTGGTAGACCCTTTCCCCACTGCCCCCATCAACCTTTTGAACCTCAGCGGTTTCATTTATACCCTCTTTGACAGCCTCTGCCTCTATTGTGGTACAACCTTTTTCCACTTCATGCCCAGTTTCTATAATATTATGCTGCTCCTCTGACAGATTCTGCGCCTCCACCTCGCAGGCTGCCCCCTTATTCCCATCATTCATCACATCTTTCTCTTCCTCTGCAAAACCCTCCTTCTGTTCCTTCAAAATGTTATTCTCCTCTGCCAGTGTAGACCTATCTTTTGTTATCATCTCACATTTTCTTTCCACATTTTTAATCAAGTCCTGCTCTACCCACTTTTCCACAAATCCATTTCCCTTCGCTAATTCTGCTGCAACCATCTCAACAACCTTCTCCATTTCCTCTGTCACTTCCTTTTCACAACGTTTAAAACATAAATCCTCCTGGGATACATCGGGGGAACTCATCTGCACTCCGCCATCTCCCATTTGTGCTCTGCCGGGCGATGAAGGGGTTATTGATGATACTGATGAGAATGAAGGGGAAGATGTGGAGTAAGCCATGTCGATGTCTAACTCACACATCGCAGGGAGGGAGTGTGACTTGGGCTTGTGGCTAAGCTCCATTTCTTGAAAAGACCTGTCCTCCTCCTCGCTCAAAAGCAGCTGGTCGTTCAGAGCGATGTGGGGCTTTATGATCTTGGGAGGAACAGGATCAGGGAGTACAAAGACTGGGACAGACAGGGCCAGCTCACAGGGTCTGGGGGGGCTCCTAGGGGGGCTGTCCGGCTCTCTGCTACCTGGCTCTATCTCCGGGCTCCAGGGCAGGGGCTGAGGCTGGGAGTCAGCCAGCAAAGGGGTGTCTGGTTCTGGGTAATGGTGGTGCTGGTCGTGGGCAAGGGAAGGGTTGGGGGTGACGGGGAGTTCGGGCTCCAAGAAGTTGGTGTTAGAGTGCAGTGCGGCGGGGGACTGCAGCTCCGCTAGAATGCTCTGATAATCTGTAGGTGACAGGATGACAAATGTAGAGACATACACACACCGAAGCATATCACAAAGGAAACACAACACACCGAGAAACACACACACACACCCTAACACACACACACCGTATGACATGGACGATGGCACAGAGGCTGAAGTGTGAAGCATGTATCCAGACAACCACTAGCTGAGATGGTGATATGTCAGAAGCTATGGCAGTATGACAAACTATTATCAAACATACCCAGTAAAATGTAATAAATATATACAATACATTGTAATGTATATGTTTGAAAATGCTAATATTTAACACAAATTCAAATAACATTTAAGATATATAAAGAAATATATTCAAATTGACAGTAATCATAAAAGCAATGTCATGTTTATGAATAGTTGATTTTCAGATGTGGTGAGGTAAGACATTGAAAGTGGGAGACATTAGTCACGTAAGGCCTTATTAATCATGTAGTGTGGGATGTGATGAGTGTAAGATATTAATATTTGCCAGGGTGTTCTGTTACATCCTCACATGAGACAGTTGACAGATGAGAGATGTGAAAAGGAAGAGGTAAGAAGAAGGAACAAGATAAAGCATGCTAAAACAATATTTCCGCTGTGGAAGGGTCAATGGGAGTTTGAGGGGGAGGTGGGGAGATGGCCGTCACAAAACTACACTGGCAAGCAGGACAGGGAGACAAGTAGCGGAGAGGAGGGGAGGAAGGAGTGGGGCTTGGACAACGGGACCCAGAGGTAGAGACGAGAGGGAGAGTAGACAAGGAGAGAGGGGAGACAGGGCGAAAGGAGGAGGCCAGCTGGGTTACTAGAGACCCTTTACTTGGAGACGCGGTGACAGAAGGTGAGGCAAAGCCCAAGGGTGAGGAGGAGATGGCAGGAACAGGTGTGATGAGGGTGAGGTTGGCGGGTGTGGTTGCTGTTATAGAGGGTGCAGTAGTATGACAGGAGATGTCAGAGGTAGATCCGGATAATGTGAGAGAGAAGGCGTTTGGTTCAGCAACTGAAGGGTTTGGAGCCGGCGTGGTGAGTGAGGGGGAGGTTGGGACGGACGTGGGAGAGCATGGAACTGAAGAAGTAATGGGTGAGTTAGCAGCAGGTGAGGGAGATAAAGGTGAGGTGATGAGGGGGATTGGGGAGGACGGGCGGGGCGAGAAAGGGAAGGCAGGGGACTTACGGGGGTAAGTAGGGAGGCACTGAGAGATGAGGCATGGGGGAGGAGAGGAGAGGAAGTTGAACTTTGGTGGTTTGAATAGCGCCGGAGGTGCCAAGTCTTTGAGGGAAATGGAGGACTCGTAACTCAGAGAGCGACGTGGGGAAAAAGGGTGGTAGTGAAGTGCTGCAGTGGATGTAAGGGGAGTGGGTGGGGGGGGTGGGGGCGGCGATGGACAGAAGGGGCTGCGCGTCTGCAGGATGAAGGCAGCTTGAGTGCTTCTGGGGGTTAAGGGGATAATCACACAAACTAAAAGGAAAGGAATAAGGCAGGATGTATGCAGAAGAGACAAAAAGAGACAAAAAGTGAATTGGAGGAAGAGGGAAGAAGAACACGTAAAAGATTGTTTAATGTGAAACATGCTTGCACAAGAAGACAATGAATGGTGTAATTCAAGGGTGTGTGGAGGAGGAGGCATATGAGGGATGGATAAGGGCAGGGCAGCACATGACTCTTAATTTGTTAAGAGCTGTTATGTGCTGTTATCAGCAGTAGATGCTGCTGTGGGTAGGTGACGGGGAGGAAGAGGAAGAGGAAGAGGAGGCAGTCTGGAGAGATTCTCTCATCTATCCAAGGAAGGCTCAGAGGAACTGGAGGAGAACTAGGAGAACTAAACTAAAGCAACAGAGAAAAGCAAACTCTACAGGGTTATATAATTTCTACTTAAGTCAGACGTAGTTGAAAAAAACATTTAAAGTAGTACGTAGTATGCAGCATGCACTTAGAATGAGATTTTAACAGTGGATATTGCTCATTTGTGACAACTGGAAACACAATTGTGATTTGAGGAGCATTCACCCTGAGCAAGACCTGATGGTGATTAATTCAACAGAAGCCAATTCAAATAAGTGCAAGTGTTAAAGAGCTATTAAAAGCATGGCTAGAAATTCAAATTCAAATTCAAAGTAGAATACCATAATAATTTCTATGGCAAGTAAAGTGAAAGCATGGCAATCAGGAATGCTTTTGGGGAACATTTGGAGCCAGTTGGCCAAACAAAATCCAAATCTGACTATTAATCAGCTTCCCTAGAGATTTGAACCAGAACTATAAATACGTCATCCATGCATTGGCACAACCAAAACAAGGTAGCAGGGAGAGGTAAGAGGTCAGCTAGACGGAGCTAAACTTTACCATCAGCCTGATCCCGGAAAACAGCGTTATCATCGGCAAAACATCTCGTGCCTGAAATGTTACCATAGTCAAATATTGGGCCCTCCAGTAAAGTCACAATATCCATCCGATTGACTTTGGTCAGCACTGACGTTAAGGCATCCGCTGCGGAAAAAAAAAGACAAGAAAGGTATTGAGTCACCTGAAAAAACAATGAAGCAATGTTTGTAATTATGTGCAAAACTGCTTAGTCCAATGCAGCAATAAGGTTGTTCCAAAATGTAAGCATCTTGCCCGGGTTGATGCTTAAGGGGGTCTGAACAGATGACAGGTTTGAGATGAAAATATAGACAGAAAGACAGACAGTGAAGGTACTCTGACTAAGATGGACTACACAGATGCTTTTGAAAAAATAAAAACTGTTTTAGTGAACTAGCATTAGAAGTTTGTCTTCTCAAGGTGATTCACTTTTAATCCATAAATCAAGAGAAGAAAGACTGAAGAGAGCGAGAAAGAGAAACAGAAACGTTTTTTCAATTTAAAAAATAGTCTTACTTGTGGCGTTTCTTCCTTCCCGACTGACCCATTTCTTAAGTAGCATGAAGCTCTGGGCTGTCAGAGAGTTGGGGTTCTCTAGCCTGACGTGGTTGATCTCATCCACTGTGAAGTTCATCTCCCGAGCCATCTCTGTGACGAGACAAAGATAGTAACTCAGAAATATTTAAACTTTAATGTACATTTTATTTATATTGAAAACACTCAGACTTGCAGAAGGTGGCTTAGATAGCCAGCATACTGTATATATTCTTTGTAAGTTACTCTGTTAGCCTGAAGATGGCAGTAAATAACAGGGTTTGAGACTAGAGAAAGAAGGTAGAAAAAAAAGATGCAATGCAGAATGTTTGTCACCTGTCCAACTGAGTCCCAGGTGATCTGCCACGATAGCCATGCGCAAGTCTGTTCGCTCACAGGGACTCTGGGGACCTGAGAAGATAGAGGACAATGACTCATCAATAAGATTCACATTCTTCTCTCCCTATACACTTATGTTAGAGAGAAATAAACATGTACATAATTTTCCTTTTCTGGCCACTTGTTCATCAGAATTACCATAAAATAAGGTTGTGTTCAAAATAATTATATTAAAATGGGTTAGCATATTAGTGTTATATAGCTGTAATATAGGTTCAATTATTTCCCCAGGATGGCAAGAAAAGGATATTTCACACTAGAGACATTATGGGCAACTTAAATATGTTCATAGAGTAAGTGGTGCTATGTCACTGTGGTATGTATCCTCTAAGCAGGCAGTAACTGTCATGAGAATCACACAAAACAAAGCATAACATGACTCAACAACAGACTCATTGCTTTACAAATCTAGGGTGAAAAGATCTATGTTAGAATCTAAAATGTCAACATGCGAAGACGCTTTTGTGTGTTCTTTGCCAACACTAGTCAGCTTAAATGACAATTGATAGTATGAGAAATTCTGTAAGAACAAACTACAACAATAATTTGGTAGGCACCCCGCACAGACAGACAGACAGACAGACAGACCAGGGAGTCAAAAAGGGACTGGTTGTGCCAGTGGACCAGTCACTACTACTGGCATGCTCAATCTACTTTACGGAGGTTTAAAATGGTTGAAAGAGGGGAATAGAGAAAAGAGAATCTTGCAACAAGGACAATACAGTACACAGTACATCAATGACAAAAAATAAATATAAATGACAGCTACTGTTCTGAAGAGAATATGTAAACACGCCACAGGCATTCCAGTCAATCCATTAAACGATCACAACGATGTCATGCAACTAAAAGTGAAATATATAAATATATAGATGTATTTTAAACATAGTGTGAAAGTTTTACAAACTAGGCTTGATCTCCGCGATGGGAGGCGTTCGAGACCCTGTGAGTCCCTGACTGCCCTCCTTCCCACCAGTCCGCCTACTCCTCCTGCTCCTCTCACTGCCGGAGGCCCTGTCCGTCGTCGCCACCTTTGCCCTTACGGACGCGGCCCCGGCCTCAGCCCTCGAACCTCTACCAGACCTGGATGAGCGGGAGGGCTGGGAGGGCTGGGAGGGCTGGGAAGGCTGGGAGGCGTCCGACAGAGAGGTGCTCCGGGAGGTGCTGTCTTCCTCCGACTGCTCTGTCTGCGTCTTTTTCTCCTCGTCTGACAGGCGGTCCACCAACTTTAGCGTCTCCCCGCTAATGCCTTTAAAGTATTCGATTGTGCGCTTACAAACCTCACTAGGGTTCTCCTGTCTGTCCTGTCTACATGCTCCCTCACTTTTTACATTACTGACCTGATGTCTATCCTTCAATGGTAGCCTTGTGGGCAACTGTATGGCTGCTCTCCCTGTGTCCAATGCCCTCGTTGGCTGTGAGGTAACCCGAACTGAAATAAGTGAACTAGCTGTGGCAGCAGGGCTGCTCTTTTTAACATCCTTGATTGGTATTCTAGACCTGGGTTCTACTTTGGCTATGGCTGGCTTTCGTCTCTTCCTGACCTCAACCTTCACTGGTTGTTTGGGCTTCTGTTTGCCTATGGCTGTTCCCTGCGTGTGAAACGACCAACCTGATGCTTTAACTGGAAGCCTTGACTTGGGCTGCTTCACTTCACTTTCTTTTACAGTTTCACTTTTCTGCTCCTGCACTTGACTGCTGCTGTGTACTTCCACTCTCTCTTCTACGTCCCTACAGCACAGTGTTTCTATCCTGCTAGCTTTTTGAAGAGTGGGCTCAGAGGAGGACTGCAAGTTAAACACCACACTACCACATTGAATGTAGTTGGCCTGAACACTGGAGGACTCAAGGTTATTGTTGTTGTTGCAGTTTTCAGAAGGGAAATCTCTTCTCTCTAAATTGGGCTCAGTGTGTCTGCTAGACTGGCTCTCTGTACACTGACCCTCTATACTGATGTATTCTGGCACCATCTGACCCTCTGACATCTCAGCTTTACAATCGGTGAGATCCCCTGAGTCTTTTTTCACAGTTATAGAGGCAGCTATGCCCATCTTAATAGGAGTGCGTAATTTGGGATCAACCTTAGATGCTGTGATTGTGCATGAGGAGGCGGTCTCAGCTATGGCTTCACAGGTGGGGGCATCAGTACCGGTATAGCCAGTGTCACTGCCAGGCTGTGCAGTGCTGCATTTTGCTGTTGTTGTTGTTGTTGCTGCTGGTGTTGTGCTGCTGTCTGTGATAGTATCTATATCTACTGTGGCCCTCTCCCCTGACTGAGAGGAAATTACCCCCAGGATCTTGCCCCCTCTCCCTTTTTCCCCTGTTTTAGGGTCAGAGGAATGCTCACCAATCTGGAAAAACTGAAGCCTCTCTTCAACAAAGTCCCGCTTGCTCATGTCAATAGCACCACTGCGGGTCATCTCAAACATCTTCCCTTCGTGGAACGGGAAGGGGTTAGGCTCACTAGTCGGTGTGCTCTCATCAGTCGGTGTTCGAGCAGGGGTTGTGTCAGGTGTTGTAGCCTGTGATTTGTCATCCACCGACAAACCAAAGGGCTTGGGGTCCTCATCTTTTGTTTTGGACTCAAAAACTCCATCATTATCACCCCCTTTGGTTGACCAGGGGTCAAAGTCCAGGCCTTTGGTGGCAACAGTTTTAAAGGTTGAATTCAGCTCCTCTTCAAGTTGGTAGCCAAAGTAGTTTTCTGCTAAGGTCTGCCTTTCTGGATGTCTTCCTTCAAGGGTATAATCTTTCTCATCTCCACTGGCTGAGGATGTGTTGGTTTTAGTCTTTCCATTATCCCCCCCTTCCTCACATTTCTCTTCCTCTATCACTTCAAGCTTGGATTGAGTAAATGAGCGGTCGGTTGTTTTCCCATCATTGGACAGACTACATGTTTTAGGGTCCTCGCTCAGTCCGTCATCCTCATCCTGAAGGTCATACCCATCTAAAGAGTCGACTTCAGTAGCATCTGTGTCATGGGAGAACTCAGCAGTGCTTGCTATGGAGCAGTCAGTGATTGACTGGTCATTGCCATTTTGGTCAAAGTCAGCATCCTCCTCCTTTACAACACCATTGATCTCAGACTCCCTATCATTTCTGTTTTTCTGTGATTTTGTGGGCTGTTTCTCTCCCTCTTCCTTCATCTTGAAAGTGTACTTTTTGACAGGTATGGGATGGAAGACAGACTCATCATCACTGGAGTCGCTGTTATCAGCTCCAGGGGGAATAGGGGATGGAGGCTGGACCCTGATGATAGGCTCGGCTAAGAGGTGCCTATCATGCTCCTCTTGCAGGTTCACCTCTATCATGTCGGTCTCTGCCTCAGAAGAAGCACAAGAACCCCTTTTCTCAGGGTCAGACTGCTCTGCCTCTAAAGGAGGAGGAGGTGGAAACTCTATGTAAGCCACTCTTTTACCCCTTGACTTCTGTCTCTCTGTATCCTGTTTTCTACTGTGATTTTCTGAAGCTGGCTTTGATTTTTCCTTCGAGGGTCCCTTGTAGATGAAGGTCTTCCCTTCCTCCTCCTCAGACTCCTCTGGGATAGGGCTTGGCATGCCAGGCATGAAGCCTATCACAGAGTCTGGTGTTCTTGAGGCCAGACTCACGTCCTCTGAGCTGGGAGTCTCGGGGATAACAGGACTTTTACCAGAGCTGTCCAAGAAAGTTATTTGTTCTAGAGGGTCATCTTCTGGACTTCCTTGAGGAGATAGAGACTGCTTTTGCTTGACAGTGTAAAATCCACCCCTAGTCTCATGCACTGTCCTACTCTCATGGCTTACTATCTTTTTGTATGTTCCCAGCTGCCCCGAGGCAGTTTCTTTTTCATACTGCTTTCCTACTTGGATGCTAACATACACAGGTAAGGGTTTAATATCTTTGAAACCCTCTGTGACAACTGCAAGAGTTAAGTCATCCAAATAATCTACTTGGTCACTATCAACACCGTTGCACACAACATTCGACAGGCTACCGTCTGATGAGTCTGTTGATTTTCCTAGTGATGATCCACGAGTAGACTTGTTGGAGTCAGAGCTACTGTGTAACCGATTTCTAGCTAAAGTAGGTATATGAGACCCTGCCCTCTCATGGGGTTCAACAGGGGCTTCTGATTTTAAAATGGTGGATTTGGGATTTTCGGAGAAATTAGATGGCTTTCTTATAGGAATTTGTGATTCCGAGTTTTTTTTTAGACTATCATTGCTATTTGGACTTTCTTGGACAACGAATTCTGTGTAGATTATTTTCTTGGTGGTTTCTTGTCTTTGCGAATCACTATTATTGCCATCTTTTATAGAATCATGGATAGAAGACTGAGATAATTTGGGAGATTGGGGTTTATAGTTCCCGTAGTCTTGGCTCTCCCATGTTTTGAATACCTTTTTTTCTTCCTGATCTTTTCCACTGGTCTCATGCTTGGGTGAGAACTTGTTTGATTCACTATCTAGACGTCTTCTATGTATTCCCGGACTGTCTGGTGTTTTTGGAATGTTTGGACCAGCGAACACTTGATACACAGGTAGCTTACTTTCCTGGAGTTTCCTGATAGGAGGATTTGAATTTTGGCCACTCTGAGGACCCCTATCTTGCCTTTGAGCCTCTTGTTCAAACTTTAGCCTCACTGCACTGACTTTGGAGGAAGACATTTGAAAAGGTTTAGGGTTTTCACCTGTGCTCCCCTGTGATTTAGTATCTCCTTGTTGTCTTGGGTCTGATTCGCTGTACTGCAGCAATACTCTCCTCTCTGGACTGCTGGGCAAACTGGCACATTTCCTGTCACTGGAGCTGAACCTGTCTCTAAGCCTTTCTCTACTCCACTCTTCCCCACTACCTCCATTCCTATAAGCTGACCTTTCTGGACTGCTGTGTGTAGAACTGGGCCCGGATCGTGATTCTCTGAAGTCTGGTCTTCGAGATTTCTTTTCTGGAGACGAGAGCTCATCATTGAGCTGTTCTGTTTTATCACGAAAGAATTGAGATACCTCACTGAGTTTTTCCTCTGCCTCCTTTACAGTCCTGTCCACTCTGTCCTCATACATAAGCTGTTCTCTCTCCTTACTCTGTGTGTCATCTGACACACGCATCCAAACTGATTGTTTTGGGCTACCAGGCTCAGACGAATACTGCAAAAGTGTCAGTTTGTCAAAGTTATCATCAACATTGGCCATTCTGCCAGATTTGTCAAACACATTTCTCGACGATCTAAAGACATACTCTGTCCTTGGTCCAACTGATCTACCCTCACTGTGACTGCTTCTGTCTGGTGAGTGGAAGCGAGACCTATCTCTCAGATATTCTTCTGTGTCAGAATGAGACTGGTCAAATTTCTCAGAGAGTAGCATTTTCTCCGCAAAATTATAAGATTCTCCCCTAAGCTCTGATGCTTCATCATCATTGTACTCTACAGATTGCTGGCTAAGTAGCTTCAGTGTTTTGTAAGAGTCATCTGCCATGAGCTGGGCTGAACTAGGGCGACTGTCTTCCTCTTGTGACATGGGTGTGTTCACTCTGGGGGAGTCAAGGTACACTGGAAGTGATTCCTCAGGCTCATCCTCTTCCTGTCTAGTCCCTGGGTAGTAATACATTTCCTTCTCTGCATGGTTTTTTGTCTCTCTGATGATGACCTCTGTTGGTTCTGTTTTATTGCCTTTTTCAATGTGAACCTCAATTATTCTTTCAACCTTAGGTTTGGAGTTGATGTCCTCGAGGACTCTTTGTGATGCTTCCTCATTGCCAGACTTGTGTTCAAACAGTCCAGCCAGCTCTCTAGAAGGGTCTTTGCCTGACTGAAAAGCCTTCATTATATCATGCACAGACATAGTTTCCTCACACCTCTCCGATGATGCTTCTTTGCCAGGTGGTTTGTGGTACACCATCCTTGTGGTGGTAGTGATGTGAGTCTCCTCCTTTACCCTCATCCCTTTTCCCATTGGATCCTCATCAGGGCTGACCTTTATTGAATAGCATTTATTCTGATCTGGAGTTGATGTAGCTTGATGCCCTTTAGAATCTGAATCAATGTATCTGACAGGATGTGCATCCTCCATTGCAGGTTGGTTGTTATCCTCTGGGGGCTCATAGCTCCTGATGACATGAACAACCTCAGTCCTAGTTTCAGTGATTACTGGGGGAACTGGGATATCCTGAAAAAGGGCCTTGGGGCCCATGCCCTCAGCACTCTGAGGAGCAGAGGGTGTCCTTTCACTCCGGGTCTCAAATCCACTGTCTGAGAGGGGGCTTTTATCCTGTTCATGTGAGATATCATCAGGGGAGTCGAGCACAGTGTCTGCACCAAAAAGCGCATCTGCTACTTTACTGATCTCTCTGTCTGAAGCTGATGAGCGCATGTTTGTTGGAGGCATTTTGAGCTTATGCTCCTGAACTGCTATTGTGGGTTTAAGGACACGTTTCTGCTTCTCCTTGCCCTCTCCTTCTCTCTTTCCCTCATCTGCTTTATGTTTTGTGTCATGCATTTTGGAGAAAGAGCTGCTCCCAACATCATTGGCCAGGTAGTCAACCACTTTGGAGAGATTGAAATCTCTATCTGGTATTGTTTTTGATTTTGCTTGAGGAACCACAGTCTCATATCTTGGTGGATAGCTCCAGTTGCTTGGTGGTTGTTCGACTTGTACTTTTGAAAAGTGTATGTCATCCAAAGAACCTCTTGCAAGGGAAACCCTACCATCCTTCCCAGCGCCTTTGGTAAGGATTTCGCTCACTTTTACCAAATCTTGTTTTACTTTCTCCACAATTCTATATGGCTCCTCATCCTCTATCCTAGCCTCTTTTGAAGAATCAGACTGAAATCCTTTATTGGCTGTGGAATTTGGGTCCGTCTGCAAAATGGCTGACATTCGTATCAAGTCCTCTTTCATTTCGGCTACATCTTTCAGAATCTCTTGGCTGGAAGAAAGTGGTGATGTGGTGTTTGATTTGAGGCCAGCAGAAAAATGAGGCCCTTTGATTGGGGAGAGAGTTCTGGCAAAGGAAGACTGCATCTGAGCATTCACCTCAACGGGCACCGCCTTCCGCGGGGACAAAAGGGCAGCAGCTGGCTTGGATACCTCAGGTAACTTTTTAAATTGGGGCTCAGGCAGCACATTAATAACAGAGTACACCGGAACAGTCATTGTACTGGATGTTACAGCAGTGGTGGTGTTAGGAGGGGATCTCAGAGAGGCATAAAGGGAATTAGAAGCTGATGATCTAATGGACTGATATGAGGAGGATGCTGAAGAGGACAAGGACTTCAAGGTGCCATAGCCTGCAGAACAAGAATTGAATGTTTTTTCAACCTCATCAAAAGCTGCATTGACACTTGTAGTCGCAGCGTTGGTGGTTGCTTGTATTCTCTCTTGAAGACTGTTTGCGAGAAGAGATGTTGGGGATGAAGAGCGGTACTGTGTAGGTGACACAGTTCCATTGATCAGAGCTGCAGCACTTGGTGGGGTGTTTGATTTAAGTGGTGACGAAAGTGAGGAGAACAGGTTTCTTGCAGGGCCAGTGACGTCTGAGGCAAAGGAACGCACAGAGGAGAGACCAGGGACTGTTTTTATGGGTGAGGAGGAAGATCCTGTGCCACAAGAGCTCCCCATTATGGTCTTGTATGGCAGGGGTGAACTGAACATACTCAGAGAAGATTTGGGAGAGGTTGGAGGGGTCATGCTTATCGATGTTCTCTCAAGAAGAGGGCTTCCTCCTCCAGAGACAGTTATGGGGGAGGTCCTAGCAGACAATGCTGCCAGTCCTTTCATGGATATCGTATCTGGGGTGCTTCTACCTGGTGAGGGCAGGTGACTGGGGCTGACCTGCACTGGGTACTGGGCTTGCTGGACTACAGTTTTTATAGGAGAGGAGAGGGTTCTGTAAGATCGGATGGGAGAGGCCATGTCACTAACTGACTTTACGGAAGAGGCAGGTGATCCCGGGATGTTGGTCTTGATGGGGGAGGCAGAGTTGATGGACCAGACAGACTTTAATGGAGAGGCAGAGGGCGTGTTGGATGACGAACTGGAGAGGGAGCCAAACCCAGACTTGGCTTGGCCAGGGACGGCGACAGGAACAGGCGACCACGCCTGATAAGATCTCGTTGAAAAGACAGGTTTGTGAGGGTAGCTAGAAGGCTGTGTTCTCGGCGAGCTCCGATCAGTTGTTTCTTCAACAATAATTTAAATCAAAAGCAATAAAAAAGTAAACATAAAATGTAAAGAAAAAATAAGTTGAAATAAATCATAAAAACCAGAAAGAGAAATTTGAGTCAGTCAGAAACAGCATATTCACATCAGCAAGACAAAGGTTTACACAGGAATTGTAAGAAAGGCCCCTAGTTAAAAACCCAGGATGACATGGCAAATGATGGTCTAAAATCATTGACTAGTGGCAAGATACACCCGATAAAGAACAGAGCATGTATTGGAACAAGATGTTTGACATGTGGTAGACTTGACAAAAATGACATGATAACTAAAAATCACAATTCCATTGACTTTTGATGTGCTTAATCTATTTACCTCGTTGCAACAGTGCCTTTTACTGTACATGTTTGATTGACATGTGTTCATTTGGTTCATTTTCAATGCCAGAGATGACCCCACAAGTGTATACCATTACAAAAAAGATTCACTTAACTTGTTTGGGCATGACTTAAAGTAAACTATGAGGTTGCACTTTACAAAACAATAACAGTAAATTAGCCATTCATGCCTGTCCAGCATTCCCTGCAATTTAAGTCATATTTGAATTGACTGAATTGATTGATAACAACATATTTATTTAATAAAAAAGTTGGATGGACAAGACTGGAATAATAAAACAAAACACAGACAGTATCTCAAAATTTGTAAAACTTGTGTTATAGTATGCATTATGAAGACTTCGCCTAAAAATGCTTGCTCTAGCACAGTCTAAATGAAGGATAACTCAAGTTAATGTAAAGTGCAACCTGTTACCACATTAATATACACAGCCGCACACAATCATAAAGCCAATAAGAGTGAAATGGCCACTAAACAAATGAGAACAATTCAAAAGAATATTTTTATTCAACATGAATCAAAACATTGTTTGCTGGAAATGATAAATGAACAGACAGACATTGATTCCCAGTGTTTCCACAAACATGAAATAACAGAACAATTGAAACAGGGAGACTTTTGGTCAACATGGAGTGGGTAAGCAAAGCGTAACACACAGTAAACCATGCAAATGTTTGATGAACGACAGATGTTCAAAGAATATGTATCAGGTGAATAAAATAAATGATTGATGAACAGGTTTTGTCAGGTAGATCTCTTTCTATACTATGGCTGTATGAAAGGAAATATGTACACTGTATAGAGGGACCTTTAGACACTAAAACTAATTAGAATCACATTAACATCTGAAATCAATCAAAAATTTAATGCAAGTAAAAATGGGAAACTCACTCGCTGCTGGGTCGGTCAAATAGCTGTAGCGCTTACGCAAAGCTAAGGAGGCAAAGGTATGACGTCGTTCTGGCTTTTCAGTCTGAAACAAACAAAAAAAGAACAAAAGATGCTTTAACATAAAAAATATGGTGAAGTGAGATTCTGATCTATCAGAATTAGGTCTAAATATTAATGTTAATTTGTTAATTTAGATACCTCAGTGCACGAAATCTGTCCTGTTTTTAGTGAATCAGCACATGCTGTTAGTACTGGCACAAGGAGACACTGCAGGTGTACTGTAGTGCCTCCTCTGGAGAGTAATGCATCTCTTTACTCACTGCATTTCTCAATGTCATAGCTTCAGACAAAATGTGCTTTGTCTGTATGGCCTACTCCAGTAAGTGGTCAGCATTGGTAAAATCCAACTTCCAGTTAGTTACGGTGTGTCGAATGAACGTGCTCTTATCATGAAGACACGGTACGCCTTCCTAAAATCAAAATAATAGTAATAATTGTTTCATTTAAATATTAGGACAGTGATACACATTTTGCCTGGTCTCCAAAAATTAAGTTTATATTGGACAATTCTGCATTACGTAATTTCCAGTATCATTCAATACTTTTAGAAGTTCCTAAAGTGTCACACGAGACAACTGGGGATTGAAATACATGTTACTGGTTTCTACTTGGGTTATTGCTGCTGTATTACGGAGCACTATGTAAACAAACTGAAATTTAAAGGGTTCATATTCTAAAAATGAATGCATATTTGGTTGTTGTTTAAGGGATGCACAAGAGTTAACCATACTTTAATCATACTGCAGTTATTGTTGGAATATTTTAGTTGTTATAGTCACTAAACATTAAAAAAACGCTGTTACTGAACATAATCTAGGTTTAATAACCTTCTGAATTGTCCAATATCAACATTTTGTCCGGCAGGTGGGTCAATATATTTATGTAGAAGTATTATAACACACGTGGCCACTATAATGTAAGTACTCAAACATAAAAACAGCCTCATCTTCCTTCGGTTAAAGTCTCCTCTACATGTTTTGACATGCAGCTGAGAGAGTTAGTGTTCTCTGTTGCAAACAAGCCAAGGACAAGGGTGAAGAAGGGAAACCCCAAAAACAACAAAACAATGACTAAGTAGACAAATGATAAGAGTCAGGGTTTCATCTGAAGCTGACCATAGTCCCGTGTGAAACTTTCTATGAGTTAATAGTACGGATGGAGACGTGGTGATTTCCTGTTTGACATGTATGGAAAGGAAGATAGAGATGGAAAACAAGCTGAGGTGTGGCACAGCAATTGGCTCCACTGCACTTTGGGATGAATACAACAACAAATAAATCCTTGCTGATTAAAAACAACTGCCACTTCCACTCATGCACTACATGGGGTCACTTCAGAAATCACTTAGCTGTGTAAAAAAAACATGCAGTCCGAAGCATCTTTCACACCAAGGTACCGTACGGAGACAAAATATCTGCGAAACGCATTTTTACTACAGCATCTGCAGTAAAGCCAACAGAAAGGACGACAAAGAAGAAGCAGTTCCATGTGATGATGAAGACTCTGTTTTACCTCATCATCAGGATCAGACTCCATATCCTGTGGTATTCCAAGATGCAGATTGCAGGAGAGGAGAGAGATGACACAATGGAGAGCAGGGACGTTATAATGAGCGGGGAGGTGGAAATAAAATTCAGGGGATGAAAATGGAGCAGCAAAAACAACAAAAGGCATCAGAATAAATCTATGGGATTAATACAAAAATAATCAGCAAAATCAAAAAAGCAAAAGCAAAATAAGTTCAGTTTCTTGTGATCAATCGATACCACAACAAACAAACAGAGTCGTCTTTTTGCATAATTCACATGTACCCACAGTGAGCCAGGCAATAGAACAAAGCACGATGTGCAAGTGCGGCTGCATGTGTACGTTGTGGGGTCTTATGACTGGCACAGGCTTTAACACTAATAAAAGACACGAGCAGCAGGCAGTCATTTCTAGACCAAATGAACTTCAATGGCTCCTCTTGATGTCAGGATAACATCGCTTTCTGTATTTTAATTTAATTTACATGTCGATGATATGAGATGGCCTGGAAGGATGAGCTATTCAAACATGGTGATCCTACCTTCTTGTGGGTTGGCAGTGTGATATTCAAATTGCATATGGCAGTCTGTGGAAGGCCTTTACTGGATTTTGGCTCTCTCAGGAAGGAGAGGCGGCCACATGGCTCCTGGCCCATATCTCTGACCTGCAGTGGACAGCAAAAGGATTGCATCATAAATTGACTGTGACAAAAAAAAAAATGTAAGAACGACCATGCAAAGTGGAAAATGTGTAAAAAAGCTTTTCTTCTTTCCATCCATGTAAAAAAGACTAGGACAACAATTGAGTTAGTGTGTAGCTCTGAAGAAAATCACTATTGCTATGAATGTCGACTGATTGCTAGAGGATGATCTGACATTTCTGACATGATGTAATCAGCAAGGCACATTTACAAAGGAGACCAGAGTGAAAAACATAGACAGTAAAAGCTAGCAGCGAGAGAGAGGGCGAGAGGAGGGATACATTTTATACCTTCACGTTGTAAGGAAGCCTGTTTTCCTTGAAGGAGAAGAAGTTAAAAACCAGCTGTTGCCCACTTTTGGTGAGAGGGGACAGATTGCCATAGCAATCCACGTGGATGGGCTTGCCCTCGAGAACCTACAGAAGTTTACAGACCATCATGCGGTTAAATGAAATGGATGTATTGCATTTCAATTTGTTTTTTATCCACATGAACACACACGACCCCACCTCGATATCTTTGCTCCGGGCCACTTCCTCAAAGTTCTCCTGCTGCTCGAGGGTCTTGTCCACTTTGTCGTCTGTCATGCAGAAGCAGCGCAGCCGAGCCTCAATAGCGTCGTTCATCTTGGCGAACACCACAAACTTGGCCAGGTACGGCACGCAGATCAGCTCCCGGTATAACTGAGACGCTAGACTCACCGTCTCAGGAATCTGGTGACAGTCTGCGAGCCAGAACCTGTGGAAGAGAGGACGAAAGAAGAGAGGAGAGGAGAGAAGGAAAGAGGAGAGGAGACACAAAAAAGAACGACAAATTTGGAAGTGAGCCAAGTGAACAACTAGCTTAATATGAGGATGATTTAAAACAGCTTAACGTTTGGAACTCTGCGCTGCACATTTAAGCCACTTTTGTATCACACTGAAACTCGAGCAATAAATCAAACGAGCTGGGTTTATTCTCTGAAGGGTGCACACAAGCACATGACAGCTGAGTAGTGATCTAATAACAGAACACCAAAAGGGTGCTCAGTTAATATCAGGCTGCACACTTGCCACATGATCCCAGTCTAGTTAGGATGACGGCTCATTACTTTTTTTGTATTATAACCAAGAAGTTCACTTGCTGAGGTCAGTTTAGAGGCAAGTCTCAACAATGTATGGTCAACATGACTTTGTACCAGTCAGCCAATAACATGTAGAGTCAGGCAAGTGGGGAACTTGCTTATGTGTGTAGTAAAAGAAAACATGAGATGCTAAAGTCAAGAAAAATGAAGCTGTTGAATTTTGCCAACTGACAGTAATCTGAGTTTTTGTCTTGTGATATATTTTGAGATTCACTGCCAACTTTTCCTTGCTTCCTGGTATTGCACTGTCACCATTTTGAGGCACACTGAGATGTCTTCTGGCAGCGATTTAAAAATTCCTGTGGATTTACATCTATATTTCAGAGTGGTAGGACTAAGGCTGCAACTAACTATTATTTTCATTATCGACTAATCTGTCAATCATTTTCTCGATGAATTGTTCATTAAAACTTCTGAAAGCAAAGACCCTTTAAACCTGATTATGATCAGTTTTGCTTGAAGAATGACTTTATTATTTTTTGAACGCCTAATCGTCTCTAGATCACCAACAGGACCAACATGTACTTAATTTCTGCAAGAAAAATAAGAGAACCAAGACTTTATGACATCTTTATGAGGACACTACAGTGAAGTGCGATATTTATCCAAATGGTAAAATTATACATTTCATATATTTTACAAGAACTGCAACTAAGTGTTAATTACTCATCTTCAGAAAAATGGTTGTAATATTTTTTATAGTGATCAGATACATGGCATGCTATATATATATATAGAAATAGAGCAGTTCAGTATGAGTCTCACCTGGCCGACACATTTGTGGTGAAGGAGACGCAATCGGTAACAAAGGACAGCGGTGTGGTCCCTGTGATGTCCTCCCACTGGGCTGGGGACGTCCCTCCTGTGAGAAACAAGGGCCAAAAGATGAGCTCACTGCCTTTCCAACCTTGCCAGAGCTTGAGCTTTTGTAATCCTCATCCTTTTATCTGCTCAGCGCTTCATCTTCCCTCTATCGACCGGTAGCTTTTTTTACATCAAAGTATTCCTGATGTGCCCACGGCTATTCAAGTCATAGTGACTCTGAGTCAACAACCCTGCTTCATGTGAAATAAATGGATGACCAACGACGGCTGGTGTCACTTAACACATTTATTAGCATCTAAGGATACAATGACTGTCAAAGTATGTGTAGTAAATAAGTTAATGCTCGGCCTGCAGAAGCATTTGGGATAGAGGAAATGCTGCAGTGCTGTCGTGCTCCAGTTATCTTCAGGTCTACTTGCCTGTGATGCTGCAGAGCAGACGCAGGCAGGGTGCAGCGTCGCCTCGGTTGCCGCTGGGATGGCCTTCTGCCGATCGAGGCGGTACGGGGATCGTCATAGTGATCGGCTTGTGGAACTTCCTCCTCCTTGGCTCAACAGTGACGATGGGGCTGAAGGTGGCTCTGTTTCCGAGGATCGCCCTCGCCATGTCGTCTGGCACAGGCTGGGCCTGAACAGAAACACGGGAAGACAGAGGAAAACGTTGTTGATGAAATGGTCGGTCAAACGTTCCCTGAACTTTCGATGTAATAAAAGCGTCCAGGGCATGACAGGCGGAATCATATATTCAACCACAAATAGGTCAGGAACATAAATATATAATAGGTAAGTGGACAGTATTTGCGAAGAAACAGCCGAGTCATGAAACAGATTCCTGCCGTACCTGCAGGCCAACACGGATCTTCTTGGTGAGCGCCCCCTGTGGGAACGAGGCCTGGACCATGGGCACGGTGCTGCTGGACAGCATGCCTCCGTCGGGACCCATGTGGTTAGACTCCTGCTTGATCCGCGACACCACGGCAAAATATTGAGGGAAATCGCTGGTGACGATGCGGCAAATGCGCTTCTTCTCCAACTCGATAGGACTGTCCAGCTCTGTGACAGAAAATGTTACTCTCATGAATGTGATCTTTAAGCAAAATTTAATGGTTGTTGTCTCTTTCCTAAGAAGTCACTAAATACACGTTCTGACTTTATAAATATATGTTAACGTTAGGTACTATTTAGGTATGACATTTTGGTCAGTGTCACTACAAAACAGGACGGTAAATAGGCTAAGCAGAGTGAAAAACTTGTTTCTGGAGTGAAAGTTAGATTTTCTAGGTCACCAGCTGACATATAGCCCTGGGTAAGTGGTTCAGTTCACCTTCATCCATTCACTGCGGACACAAAAACTGTCTTTGTACAAACTAACGTTGATAAATGTTAAAAACCTTTCCTTTACCTTCATCCATTCCCGTAAGCAGCTCAAAGAGGTCTTCTGGTCTGGCGTCAGACTGGTGCTCCTTCCACGTGTCACCATTGTCACTCCTCAACACAATCAGCTCCCTCTCTTTCCCCCGCATGGACCCAAAATGAGGGATCTCCACAATCACAGGACTGAAAGAGAAAATAGAACACGATGAAACTTAAATAAGTAAAAGAAACCCCGAACTTTATGGCAGCTTTGAGGTTTTAATAATAACTATAGTTAATTAGCTTCACTGGCAATCCATAACCATTTTATGAGTCATGATATTCTAAGTTGATATCAGGAAATATCTCAGATTTTTCCACTATCTGCAGAAGACTCATCAACACAAAGTAAAAAAAAATCCCAAGCGTCCTACCCGAGGAACTGAGCCCCAGCTGGTCCAACCTCCACCAGCCGGCTGACCAGCCCCTCTCCCTCCACCATGGGTGGGGGGTAGGCCAGCTTGTGCCTTTTGGCCAGGCGACAGGTGATGCGTGTGGGTGCCGTGCACTTCCTCGGAGGGATGATGATGCGCATGCCGTTGTGGCGGCTGCCTCTCATGGAGCCACCTCGGGCATCCACCATGAAGCTGACCAAGAACCTGCAAGGTGTAAAAGGAGCAATGTTAAGAGGAGGAAAAGACACAGACAGACAGAAAGATAGAAGGAAGCTTTATCACGGACACAAGTGAGGAGGACGATTCCCATGCTGTGATCACCGTACACCCAAACAAAGTAAGGAAAAGAGAGAAAATAACAAAAATAGAGAAAGAGCAAGAGATAGAACGATAGGAAGAAGAAAAAAGATGCTTTGAGCTCTGAAAGTTGGCAGCTCTCACCTTCAGTTTCCTCAATTTAGAACATTAAAACACAGTTTGAAACTAAACAGGGTGCTAAGGAAGTTGCAGAAAGTTTAGTTTCCATCCTGAGGCTGAAGGTGAGACTGTTGCCACATTTCAGTTCCTCTAAAGCAGCATCAAATGGTGATCAGCACCAGGTGATCAAATATTAAAACACCTGCACAGATGTTTCACCAAGATAGGATTAATGTTATTCATATGTGATGTGTCTTCAAATAAAGAGCAGGTTCTGGCATCCCATATAGTCATTGACACAAGTAAAGAGTTAAGATGGAGTAGGATGTATTTTCTATGAGCAGCCCTTAAGCCTAAAGCCAAACGTGGCTGTTCTTTTCACTACCAGTGATATGTACTGTATGGCTGCTTTTTCTATACTGTATGCTAGACGTAGCAGAATCCCTGTAACGTTATGAGCAAGATGTATTTTCAATGTGCGCTGTGAGAGGAAGAGAGATGGCACATCAATGAAGAGACTACCAAACACGTTGACTGCACACTTCTAATATCTAGGCAGTGCAAATGAAACACCAGACCACACGGATGAGACGAGCACAGAGCGGAGGAGAGAAGGCCAAGTGGGGAAGAGAGAGAGTGTCGAGGTGAGAGGGAGACAGAGGTGGAGGAGTGAGAGTGACGTCACTGCGGCATCATGGGTGAGAGCAGCGAACTCAGTCATCACCTGGAGTCATACTGAGGGAGCGGGGAGGAGAGGCTGGAAAATAAACACAATGGAGGCAATGCAGGAGGCAAACCCCCAGAACCTAGTTTTAGTATCAACGTTTCACAATCACTGTTGGGATCTGTAGCAACTACTGAAGATGGAGGAGAGATTAAAAAACTGCAGAGGGGGAAAATCAACGGAAAACACAAGACACACTGAGGACGGAATTACAAAGAACAAAACAATAAATACAAAGACAGACAAACACACAAGGCCTAAGAATGAGTCAAACAAAACTGGACATGACACACTCCAGTATCTCATTTCTGAGCAAATTAGGCATTAGCTTCTGTACAAAGACAGCATCATTCATCGAGAGCATGTCATATATTCAAAGTATGCGAATGAGAGCGAAATCTTATCCAAATGAAACACACAAGCCACTGTGCCATGAGCTCACACAGAGTCTGCTCTATGTTTCTGTGATGACAGAAATAGAGCCTGATGTCAGTGAACAAGCGGGTGACATCTGGACCGTGTCTTTAGACTTGTGGTATGACATGAGAGCTTTTGGAGGATAGGACTGTGTCTTTTGTTGCTGTAATGTAATGTGTACAATAGCAGTGCTGCAGAAAGCCCCCAGCTCTGCATCATGTCTGCATCAGTGCTGCAGGGTTTGCTGAATATTGACTCTTAAGGGGAGAACAGAATACAATACACCAGTTTTGTGTGCAGTGAGCATAGAAAATGTGTTATTTATGCAGTAGTTGTGTGAATGTGCATGCCGTGTATATGTCAGCTTTTGAATGTAGGGTATGTGTGTGTGTGCACGCTGGTAAACAGATCGGATGAGACAGTGCGGCTGGTCTTACCCAGAGTGAATGGGACTGGACACAGTGTTGTGGCTGTGGTCCATGGTGTCCGGAGTCCAGCTGTAGCGCCGCATACACTCAGAGCTGTAGTCACTGGTCACGGCCAGGTGCTGGGAGAAGAGAGAGAGAGGCGAAGAGACGAGGAAGAAGAGATGAGACGGAGAAAGAGGAGGATTAGGAGTGGCAGATCGATATGAGGGGAAAAAAATGAGGAAGTAGGAAAAAGGGACAAAAATAGAAACAATTTTAAATGGAAGAAAAGATGCTAACCAAGAAGACAAAAAAGAGCTAATTATGAATCATTGCACCACATAACCCTCCCTTCTTTTTGCTCTACCATGCATGGTATGGGGCAATGAGCTGATAACATGTACGTCTTTTTAACTCACCACGATCAGGACAAAAAGACACAATAAATAACACGGTGAATGTACAAAAGTTACATACGGCAACTATGAATGCCTGGAAAAACTAGGAACCGGAGACCAGCTTTAATAAATGATGATGTATGTGAACATCGAATCATGAGAACTCAAGTACACTGAAAGTAACGTGGGAACGACCAAAACACAGACCAGCATGAATGAATGAGATGAGAACGGCATGGATCCAAAACAAAAAAATATAGAAAACTCAAGAGCAATGGAAGCTGAACCACAAGTGACGATAACAAAACTGACGAATGAGTCGGACATCCGTGAACTCTTTATACCTTATTGAGTGGGTCAACCAAGTAGGAAATGTCTTTACAGACACTCTGAAGCTTAGGGGAGAAGAGAGACAGTTCAGAAGTCACACTTGACGTCCAGACAAATGAGTTCATGGAGCTTTGTTTTACTAAAAGATTGAGTTTCCACCAAAGGAAACATGATCCTATCTCTGTGAAGATTAGATGGTTCTACAATTTAGTCAAACAAATCCTAAATAACTGAAACTTCATCCAGCATATGTAGCAGATTATACAACGATGAACGGACCACCGTGGAGGAAAAAATGATTTGATCTCATGTATATTTTCAGTTTGATATGATACCAATGTAATGGGAAGCCCGTTGGAAGTCCAAAACATTTGCTTATTTTTGTTACAGAAGAGAGTTGAAGAGAGTGCATATTTTGGCCATGTATAGTTCGAGATCTTGGGTAATGATGTCATTGAACCTGTCGGTTATGTCCCTAATATTGTTTCTGAGAAGAGGTTACAGTTTCTGTTTTTGCTCCTGACCACCAAAACAAGCGCTGGACCGGCTAGACGAGCTCTGCAGAGGGCTGCGTTTTTTCCGTGAGGAAGCAAAGAGGGGCCTCCCCAAAGCCCTTAGGTTTCAATAAACTCTTCGTCAAGGTGCTACACACTCTCCCTCAGCACTTTGGCAAAAGAAAGCATGGCGTCAACGCTGCTTCTGTTATGACCTTTGTGCAACACAAGTAAAGCTACCCTGATTTAATTCTACCCAGCGTGCTTTTTCTCACCAGGCCACTGACAGAAAGACCCCCAGGGAATTCGATGAAGAAGAGACACTGAAGCTGAAAAAACAGAGCACGAAAGATACGACGGAAGGAAAAAATGGACAAATACAGAGAGAAGGAGAAAAGGGCAAGAAAAGAAAGACAAGAAATGTATCTTACCGTGTCCTTTGTGGGCGCCAGAATCTCTTCGATCATCATGCTGTCCCGTGCATAGGAGCTCCGGTTGAGTGTGTTGGACCTATCCGAACTGAAGGAGCGGAGGCTACATGTTACCACGCAACCCGGCGTGAAAAGTGACGGGCAGGGGAACACGACATAAAACAAAAAGCAAGGAATCCATTACTACATGCAACCTCCAGGGAACCAGATCTCTTTTACTTACTGGACAGAGAGAGTCCAAAAGGTATAAGTGGAAAATAGAGCGAGAGAGTGAGAGAGAGAGGCTTCAGAGCCCGCAGTTTGACAGAGATAAGAAACTGCAGCAGGTTATTCAGAGATGGAAATGTGAGCGAGGTCAGTTTGTTTGCATTGAGAGATAGAGCGGAAGAGGAAGAGACTGAAAGAAAACACAGACGGCTGTTCAGAGGTGTGGTTTGGTGCGCATCATGAACACAGACACCAAGTGTGTCTAAATGATGAAATATGACAGATTTGGGGAGAGTATGCGCAGCTCACTGACACGTTTCCTGCGTAGACAGTAAAAAAGAGACGGGATCTGCTCAAAAGTGTCTCAAACGACTCGAGCTTGAAGACTGACACCGCTTTATTCTAAGATTAGTAGCTGACCTAGACCCGTTTCTGAGCAGCAGAGATATAAAAAGGGAAGCTGGTCGCTTCTATCCGTCCTGCTGCAGTCTGCTTTATGGCTGTGTGCGCGGTGACGTGTGCCTGTTTTTGCAGCCTCTCAGGCTCAATGCGGTGCTGTAGATTCCTTTCAGGGTTTTCTTTTTTTTTGTCCTGTGCTGTTTTTTTGCTACAGGGTTTAGATCAGAGCAGAAGAGCCGACGCACAATCACGATACAGACATTTAAATTGTGCGCACTTGTTAAGGGCATACAAACGGCGTTTATGATGAGTGTGCGTTTCTGCACTAAGAGGGGCTTGCGAGGAGATACGATCCCACCGACAAAAGCCTCATTTTGTATACTGTACGTGTGTGTGTGTTGATGTGTCCTGTGTGCGGAGGGGGGAGACCGGGTGAGCGAGGGGGGGGGGAATGCAGAGCTCAGCGTGTTTGAGTGGGCACACTATTCAGCGCAGAGAGAAGCCCTTTATTCAGCACAGCCTGCCTACCCCACCATCGAAGTTACCAAGCAACTCTGTATGGCCTGAATGGACTCGCTGGCATGGCAGCACTATGCTACCCCCCCCCCCCCCACACTCTGTTTGTTCTTCACAGCTTCCTCCTCTTTCTCATTCTGTCCATCCTCCTCTCCTCCCTAAACACTTAAGCTTCTCAATGTCCTTCTGTGCCTTCTAATGATCTTGGTTGTCCTCTTTATTGTCTGTCATTTATTTCTGCTTGTCATGCCACCGCTGTCCCCTTCATCTCTTCCTCTGTCTCCACCATCTCTGATGTTACTAAGACTCGACTGTTTTAACGAGCAGTTCGCTCAATGGAAGACTCCTCTTTCCACACCACTCCATTCATTTTAATCAGTCTGTCTTGCTCGCGGTAAACTACACTTCATATTGTCCAAATCACTGGATTTTTTTTCGGCCTGGCACCACCAATGGTCCTGTGCTTTTAGGAAGGCAACTGTGTGGACAGTCGTTTGTGTCATTGTGCGTACACGTGACGGTTGCGCGCAAATGCATCAGTGTGTGTTTGATGCCTGTGTCTGTCCTCCATGATTTCTAAATGCTGGAGCAAATTTCCAGCGAAATATCAGGCCGTTAAGTTTCCATCTCTGCAAACCGTGATTTAACATCCATGTTAATCCTGAATAAATCTTCAATTACTCCACATGTAAATAGAGGGGATAAAAGGGGCGTATTATTAAGAAACTGATGTGTTTGATCCCTGGAAGTTACACCCAGTGGCACGACAAAATTATATATATATATATATATATATATATATATATTATAAGTGCCACTTAAGAACAAGCCACCTCAAAAAGTTGTAGAATTATTCCAAGAAACGTCTGCAAAAAAACAACAACACACATTGTGGCTTTTATTCTCTCATTCCGAGAACGATTGCCTCTTTTCCACACCTGCATCAAAAACATTTTCTTTTTTAAGACGGATTAGAAAACATGATGGATGGTGATCAGCTTAAATGGAGCGACGATCTCAAAAATACAACACGTGACAGCAAGAAAGTGACAAATCTGTTACCACAAACAGAATGACGACAACACTGGATGATGGTCAATGGATGAGTCATGGTTTGGGTTAGTGGTTTTAATGGGTGTAGGGTTGAACAGGGTTAAACAGGGGAAGGGCACACCATTCACGACTAATGATGCTTACTACTTCTACGACTACTACTCTGTTCTTACCTGAGTCTAGGGCTAGAATGAGGGACACGGTGCAGGAAAACAAGGAAAAGAACAAAATAGAAGAGTGAAAAGCGAAGCATTTTGAAGACATTCAAGCATGATGTGGCTTTCATTTCTTTACCCCATACGACATTGATGCTGTGCTTTTGCATGGTGGTGTGCTACTAGTTAAGTGTTTGTGTGTGTGTGTGTGTGTGTGTGTGTGTGTGCAGCCCATTCAAAAAGCAAACCGTGCAATGTCGATGTCATAAACAGAAAGTAAGGAGAAGGAAAGAACTTCATCATACATTCGTTGATCAATAAAATACAAGATTTCACAACATTTTACCCACGAAGAAATAATTCTCAACGATTTTAAAATCATTTTTTAGCTTAATATTCTTCTACTTCATATGCATTACACAAAAGCAGCAGCATAAAGGATCAGTTCAAGTATGTAGCTCTAATTTGGAGCAGATGGAGATATTATTTTTCCCAATATAATTTCTCTGTAGTACCCTTAAATACCAATAAACTGTCAACAATAGTAAAAAAAACAGCAGTTTTCAAACCCTCAAATGTGGTCCCAAACCTCTTAACTATCATAATTTAGATATTTTGAACTCCTAACAACAATTCACACAATTCACTTCAAATGTCTTTCCAGTAAACGACCCGTTGGGCTCGTCAAACGTGCTTGTTTGTGGAATATCTCCATTTAATTCACTGTTGCCCATGTTTTTCTAGCGACCCTCTGGTGTTAGCAGCTTCCTGTCACAGTTAGTGTTGTTGTTTTTATCAATCTAACCATCACAGTACATCAGCCATCTGTCCGTGTGGCTACAATATACACTCTGGGGCTGCACAACACTTGTCCTGTGTGCTGCCGATGTGTTTTCGCCGGAGCCTGACAGTTTTCCCCTCCATACTTTGTTCACTATCTGAAACTGTCGTTAGGCCTGTGCCGAATCTCGATGAGCAGCTGTTCCCGGAGAGTATCAAAGGCCTCACAGTTCAAAGATACAGCTTATATCTCTTGTGTTACACTATGGGCCATTTGTAATCTTTGCCTGGCTTTGACTGAGCCCACATAAAACGCTGAATCATTTTGTCAGGTTGAATCATTGGATGGCAACTTTCCAGCTGCTTTCTCCAGCGATTTCCATTATTCTGTTGTGTGTCAGTGTGTGTGTTTGTGTTTGAGTTTCTGTGTGTGAGTGTGTTGGAGGGGCTGTACATTATATGATCTGTTTCAGTCCAACAACACCATATCTGATGCGTAGATGCAACCACACTATCAACACCAGATATACAGACATAACCTGGCCACAATATTCTACAGACAAGTTGGACCAAATAGCTATCAGCACTGCACCAGAGAACATCAGTGACATTCATAATATAAATGACAGGTGCTTACCTGGCTGAGCGGGCTCCTATGCTGAAACCCATGTACCCCTCCTGAGGGAGAGAGTCATCCCCCAGCTCTTTGAGGTCCTGAGGCCGCAGGTATTTGTCCGTGTCCCCGGTCAACGCATCCTCACCTGGTAGGGGGAGGGGGGGGGGATGATATCATAAAATCCTCCTATTAACTTCATAAGCCAATCCGGGCAAATAGAGGCGATGCGGCACCTCAGGAAGAAAAACAACAACCCTCACTGCCGACATCAGTCTCTCACTTATTTGATCATGGTACTTAGAGGAGGATCATTCATCTAAAGCACTTTGCTGTTTAACCCAACATACATCACTGCAACTGCATAGCCCACTGCAACTGTGTCTATTCATTTGGCTGTGACACAACCACAACAACAACAACAACAACAACAACAACAACAACATGAAGCTGGAGGACTGAGCAGCACCGATGATTGACTGTTTTAGAGGTTAATTAAACAATAATCATGTTTTAGAGGAGAAATGCCATCAGAGGCAGCAGCAAAGCCACTTTGCGGTATATCTGGATCTCTCCTGTAAAACCACACGCAGCTCCTTTCACAACACTCTACAGACGGAGCGCAGAGGGTTTAACAGCGACCAAAAAGCATGAGCACAATAAACAGAGAATATATGCACAGAATATATGTGCAGAACCGCACCGCACCTCGATCGGCGGACCGGTGGACGATGACACGCCGGTCAATGAAGCCGGCGGAGCGGCTACTGTGTTTCCCCTTCTCCCTCATGTCCGGCTCTGTCCTGCCTGCAACACTGTGCTCCTTCACCGCAGCCCCTCCCCCTGCCTTCAATACTGCCGCACTCCGATCAGACACCAGCACCAGTGTCAAGCTAGATGACAACAATAAGTAGACGTTTCCGGTGTCACATTTCAAAATAAAACCGTCGGTGAAAAGATTTTTAGGTCATCAAACCTCGCCTAAAACACCTGTTATTTAAAACTCACGGAACCACGTGACCAAATAAAGTCCCCAACGGAATATTAAAATTGTAAGTTAAGTTCATTCATGTGCTTCGATTGGGTTTGCTTTACATCCCTCTGTGTTATTACTCAAATGACCAGCTTCTACTGTCTACAACAGGAATATAGACCTATAGAAAAGTCATATGTACTGGCTCTGTGCAGCCAAATACTTTGACAATATATCATTATGTTCAATGCATTGAATCAAGAGTTCAAGAAAATTCTTTAGTTTCTCTCTGCGTACACTTTATCATCTTAATTTCCTAATCCCAGAACTACCCTCAACTATTCTGAAGACAATGAAGTATTAATCAATATACATGAGAGTAAAGACAAACTGCAATATGTTTCCAGTGAAATACAAGTGACATTAATTGAGGAAGGAACTGTTATATCTGCAAATTTAGAGGGTTTTTTTCCCCCCAGTATCATAACATGCTTGGATGTCAGAGCAAAAATGATGAGCCTGCAGCTTTACATGCACCTTTAGTCTAACATTAATCATGCGAAACCTTAGATATCAACGCAAGAAGAAAGCTGAAAGCAAACTAACATAATATTACGGATTTAGAATTCGAGACAGGCTGCATAATTCTTTAGGTTTATGTGATGCTTTTATTCTGATGGTTAAATTGATCACCTAACTTCCTGTGTTTTTCTAGCTGTTTCTGTCTGACTTGACACAACTGAGAGACAATTGGCTCCCCGGTGCTGTAATATATCACCGTCCCATTCAAGCTCACACGCACACACACACACACACACACACCCAACACGTCCACACACACACACACACACACACACACACACACACACACACACACACACACCCCTCCTATTGTTGGCTATTATCTGTGGTAGCCTACAAAGTCACCGCATTAAACCTCACTCTCTCTAATCTCTCAATCTTCACCATCCAATAACAAAGAAATAATAATGACTAATTTCACATCGGTTCTCATGACACTCCACGTTCTGTCTATCGGTCGATCCTCTGTGTTTTATGTGTTTTTTTATTATTCTATTTTTTACACCGCAGCCTTCAAAACACCAAAGAACGAACATTTAAACTTCATCTGATGCTCTAACGACTTACCTTTGTTCAACTCAGCCATATTGATCACAACTCTTCTGATATCTCTGGGTTACTTCTATTTTAAAAACGTCCCCAGGATGAACAGTAAATCCAGTGAGAGGTGATCGAGGACTATCAAGTAGACCATTCAGTGCTTCTGGCGCTGATGGAAAATGTTGCCCTCTCTTCTCCCCACGCACTTAACTCCACTCAGACCAACTTGCGCGTTTGCCGCCGGTGCGCACATCTCTGCCGCATCTTTCTCCGCAAATAAACACAATTCAAGCTTTTTTTAAGTGCTGACAAGTGCACATCGCTGTGAAGAAAGAGTAGAAGTCAAAGCCATCTGCCGGGGGTTAATTCTCCTGCAGGCGGCTCAAAAAGCTCATCTGATGGGATTTAAAGAGAGAAAGTCTCGGTGCGCCCTTTGGCTCACCAGCATCCACAACAAACTCCGGCTGAAGAGAGTCAACAAGGGGCCGCACTGTTTCTGTGGAGAGCAGAGTCAGCTGACCGGTTGTTTGAGCAAATGCTTGGGAACCTCCGCAGAAGAGACAGTGACGGAGAGAAGAGGAGAACTCTCACTGGACACTTCTGTTTTTTTCTTCCTCTATGGTGGAAGTCTGGCTGCATGTCAAGCTGGGAGTGAGGCTAGAATAATGATGAAATAACCACCATCATTTTGCTTTTTTTTAAATTCTTGAGCAACATTTCTCTTCCATCTACATGTTGCACACAATGACTAAAACTTGCACAAGTACATTTAGAACATTTATGCAAGAGGTGTCTGGCAGTTAAAGACCTTCAGTACACACAACTCCAACTGTAGTAATAATATCCTCTCGGGCCAGTGAGGGAGTGTGCGACTCAATACTATAGACAGAAGAGCACAAGGAGTTAAGTTGATCTCTAAAGACCGTACAATTAGTGGCAACAAGTAGTAGTCTATAGAAAGCATGACATGAGCATTGTGATTGCACAGGCAAGCCACACACACACACACACACACACACACACACACACACACACACACACACACACACACACAACAGCCAGAGACCAGGAGAGTCCTTTACACCTACAGCTTAATAGGATTGGCTTTTGGATTAAACAGAGATGTGGACAGTCTTTACTTCCTAACTCCCACACACACACACACACACACACACACACACACACACACACACACACACGCACACACACACAGATGAAGGAGTGCAGGCCTGAAAGCAGTAGCTCACTGAAGCCGGTGTGGTGCTGCTTTCCATTGGTCAAAGTGAATCTCAAGTGTGCGCTGCACCACTACAATGCTGATGAATTATGCACACAGTATAAACAGTTTATGTGGACTTCATGAGGCCATGGAGACTCGTATTTATAATTCCTGCGCGGTAGCGATAACACATCGAATCGTATCGCCAATGAGGATCTTCATTGTGCAGCTACGGCGCAAACTCATCATTCTTCGCCTGATACGTGTGTAGTATGTAACTTGTTGATTCTAGCTGTATCACCTGACATAGAAACTCCACACCCCCCCTCCTACTGTCCCCTAAGCAACAGCCCATGAACAAGCTCATCAATTTTACAGGCCTGTTGGCTCTGTGGTTCCAAAACAAAGGGCAGGCGACTGAAGTGGGCGGCCCGAAACAATGTGACTTGTTCTGTAAACCTGGCGGTGGCACCCGGTCCTGCCCTGCTCCAGCAGCTATTCCGGTATGATATCATTATTGTTATGTAATTTATTAGGGTTTACATACAGTGAGACACGATTGTTTCATTGACTGCATGCAGGCCTTTTCATAGTCTGTCTCAACTGAATAAAAACATAAAGTGAGTCACATTGACCTTGTTTTCATTATTTCACAGCAACTCCTTCAAAGAGATTTCAAGCGGGTGACACTTCACAAAGTGTCTTTGATGAGGACGATCACGCAGTACGAGACTGATGATGTGCAAGTAGTTAAAAATAACACGTGTTTTCAAGTTGCAGCGAAAATAACATCGGCAGTGTCAGTTTGTGAAAAAGAAACAGGACACTCAATCCTGCCAGAAACCCAAGAACAGATTCAAGGCTAAAACAACTAAAAAAATGTTGAAGTTTGTTGACGGTTTTCTTGAACAAATTGAAACAGCTGAGAGTTCATTCTTTGTCTGATCATGGCAGAGTGACAGTAAATAAAACAAAAGAAGTAGAATATCTGCTATCTGACCCTCTTATTGGCTCGTGGGATGAGAATATCTTTGCGTCAACAGTATTCATAAACTGCATAATAACTAAAGTGCATGACCACAGCATTCAGTTACAGTGTATGTGTGCTCTGGCTGTTGGTTGAGTCTATTCAGATTTTGCCTGGAGACTTTCTATTAAAGATGAACAGCAAAGCTGAAGCGTAGTACAGCAAAGGCTTGGCGGCTATAGCTGTTCAATGAGACAGGTGAGTTCTGCTGCAGTGTGTTATGTTAAAGCGAATCAAACAAACAGAACGGTGGAGGCAAACCGGTGACAAATACCTTCATCAACATCTGAAAAAGACTCCTCATTGAGAATTTCTGGCACATTGGCCCGGACTGTGTGATTTGAATACACATACAGTGAAACATGCGCATGTTAATGAAAACGACATCACATAGCACAGTCACAAGTGTACGGAATTCATGCAGGGTATTGACATTGCTTTTTTGTAATCAAATCGTGACACAATCACAGCAATGGTTTGCAAGTATTAATCAATGTAATTTTAGTACTAAATGTGTGAAACATAGTAGAATGAAGCAGTAATTTGAAGTATTCTTTGAGTATTTGAGTATTCTTCACATACCTTCATCGTCGGACATGTCGAGGAACTCATTCATGGTCTCTGGGACATTGATTTTGTGTTTTTCTGATGCACTCTGTAAATGTGGAAAAAAGATGGACAACTGAAACATTCAGTTTTGCCAAAATAAAAAAAAATTCTCAAACATATTTTATTTTTCTGGATAAATCCCTGAAACTTTAAACCTGTTCCAGAAGGAAAATATGAGTTACAATGATGTAGTACACTTTTAAGAATATAAGAATATAATATACCACATGATCATTTGAGTTCCCTATTGATACTTGAAAATGTTATATCACCTGACAATTTAAATACTTTGGAGACAACTGTAGGCAGTCAATGACAAGTTCATCATTTACATTCCAACGTGTGACCTTCACGTATGTTTCCTAATATGGACATTCAACTGAATCTTAGCCGTGGCATCTGTCACTATAAGAAGTAATAATACAGTTTGTTTGAAGGCCATTTTACTCCACATAACTGACCAGGCTGCAAATGTAGGTTCAACAGAGACATAAAACAACAGCAGAGGCCTCTGCACAGTGAGTAATAGATCAATCCCACAAAGGTGTAGGGAATCACCCTTGATCTTTAAGTTACTTCACTGTGCATAGAGACAGTTACGACTAATACACTTTGCTGCTGATTGTGCAGGATCCTCAGTGACCTCTTTGTCCGTCTCTTCACTCACCCCCCACTCTCACTCCTGTCACCTTGCCGTCATCATTCTGCCTCTCTTCCCCCCCCTTCTCCCAGACACGTGTGTGGGACAGATCGCTATTAGTGACCTGAGCTATTTGAGGAGAAACTTTAAGCTCCAATCTAAGCCCTCTTTCTCTCTTAATCAGGACAACTTCCCACATGTGACACAGCGTGACTTACTGACTTACTTGCAGGTTTCATTCGATCAGTGCATTTACAGTTTGTTGCCAGCTCAGTTCACTACAGCTGCTCAATAAGGAGGTTTTACATGTTTTAGTCCAACAGGGACAAATACTCCAGACCATTTTCTAAAGCATATTAGAAGGTTTTAGCAAATAGAAAACCTCTCAACGCAACAAACATCTAGAATTGTACTATTTATCACAGATCGTCCAAGTTTTAGTTTGTTTTTTTTGCCGTCTAACTCCTGATTGCAATGCTTTTTGGTGGTTGCTGAGATTGATTTTCCAATGATAGTTTCAAGTTGATTTTAATACAGTTTAGAAATGAATAAAAATCCGTTGCTGTCGGAAAAGTATAGGAAATCAATTAAAAAAGTGAACTACTTTAATATGTTTGAATGAGTAAGTGTATGCAAAGTATGAGATTCGTTAATGTAATGAAACACGCATAACTGAGGATGTTGAATCCTCACTTTTAAGATGTTTTTATATTCGGTCTCGCTTTGCCTGGGTTCTAAAAAAACCTCAAGAACGACTTTTCAACGATTCTAATTAACCTCAATGTCACATGAATTCATTGTAATAGGCTGGCTCTTGTATTCAACCCGTTTCCAAGTTATAGAAAAATATTCATCAGACTTAAATTAGCTCGAACTTCATTGGTGATGCGATTAGAGCTTGTGTGCATTTAATCATACGAGATGCCGAGAGACAAGAGCCTCACCATGGTGGTCAGGTTTTCATCCGTCACGGGCCTCAGAGTGTCCACCACAGAGATGTATCCAAGACGACGGGCGATTGATAGTGCAGTGTTCCCATTCTGACCAGGGAGAGAGCAACAGGAAGGTATTCACAGGGAGGCGCAACAGAAAACACAAAAGAGCATTCAGTATTTCATCACGCTTCAGCTCTGGTAGAGTGTGTGCGTGTCTGTGTGTTTGTGCACTGACCACGGTGAGCTCGTTGGCCATGGCCCCGCGCTGAAGCAGCAGGTTGATGATGTGGGTGTGGCCCTGCTGAGCTGCTTGGTGTAGAGGAGTGTACCCGTTCTAGACAGAGACACACAGGCACAGTCATATTCAAATTGTATGAAATCTGAATGTGACAGAAGATCTACACAAAAACAGTAACATAAGACCGGGCGTGTGAGTGTGTGTAGGTGGGCGAACATGAGTTTCTCTACCTTGGTTGTGCTGTTGGCTCTGGCGTGGTTCTGCAGCAGGAAGTTTGCCATCTTTGCGTTGCCATAGTGACAGGCCACGTGCAGCGGAGTGTAACCCATCTGCATGAGGAAGAGACACAGACATGAAAGGGCGAGGAGATGAAAAGGGGAGGAAAATACAGCTACGCATGCTGACTGGCGGCCTCATCTTTTTAAGTCACAGTTTCTGAAAGAACTATTTGTATAACAGTGCATTTTTAAAATAATTTTGAATAATTGTGCAAGAAAAAAAACTATTTTTAGCATGCCATCTTTGATTATAAATATAGCTTCAAAACTGCATCATATTTCACGTCCTCGTTGAGTTATGAGTACAGTGCATAATGCTAATGGATGAGATCAGTGAGTGAATAACCTATTTGCTGTAAACAAGTGTCCTGTCAGCACAAATACACACACACACACACACACACACACACACACACACACACACACACAC